ATGGATCTCTCTGAAATTGTACCGCAAGGTACCATACCACAAAGGGAAGGCTGGGATTGATTTTGGGGGTAATTCCCTCAAAATTTTAGGAATTAGGGGCCATAAAAGGGCAAAAAAACAAGCATTTTTCTAGTTTCATGACAATAACTTGTGTGTAAGTGTATGGATCTTTATGAAATTGTACTGCAAGGTTCCATATCACAAAGGGAAAGCTTGGTTTGAGTTTGGGGGTAATTGCCTTAAACGTTTAGGAATTTGGGACCAAAAAGGGGCCAAAAAACAAGCATTTTTCTAGTTTCCAGACAATAACTTGTATTCAAGTGTATGGATCTCTCTGAAATTGTACTGCAAAGTACCATACCACAAAGGGAAGGCCGGGATTGAGTTTGGGGGTGATGAATCATAAGGGGGTTCAAAAAATTTGGGGGGGATTTTTTTTCCCTTTTTTTTCTTTAAAATTTTCCATTTTAAATTGGTTATTTCTGATTTATATATAAAAGCAAATAATAATGATATGGTTTGAATAGGTAAATTAAAATTTTTTTAAGTTCTTAGACCACTTTCATTCTGTGTCAGAAACTTATGCTGTGTCAAATATTTAATTACAATCCAAATTCAGTGCTGTATCAAGCTTGAATGTTGTGTCCATACTTGCCCCAACTGTTCAGGGTTAGACCTCTGCGGTCGTATCAAGCTGCACCCCAGCGGAGCATTTTATCTATGTTTGTCACATTCTGTTTTGAAAGATTGGATGGATGCCATGACCTGAAATAAACAAAATTTGTGTTATTTAGCCTTATGAGCAGGGTCAACATCAGGTTTTACTGGGTCCTCTTTTGAAAGCTTTCAAATATAAGATTGGATAGGGTAATATACATTAGGAATTTTTTATTAAATACAAAAAATGTATCAATTTTTATTTTTTGGGGTTAAGATTGCATTCCTGCAATCAAAACCCTTATGTGGCTGGCTTGACAGTTATCGATCTTCCAAACTTTATCACTACTTGTGAGATACTTTTTAAGTTACAAAATGATGTTTGTGTATAACCATAATTGTCAAGAAAATTACATAACTTGTGCAAGGTGCTTGAATCTAGTATCTGTTCTAAAAATATCAATTATGTCATTGTTACAGTAATATTTAAAATTGGGAGTTTCCTTTATAAAAATAAGGAGATGTGGTATGATTGCCAATGAGACAACTACTAGTATTCACCAAAGTTCAAATAAAGTGTATGTAAGCACTTCATTTGAACTTTGGTGGATAGTTTGTCCATAAATGTAGTTGAACCATCTACAATAGTATCTCCAATTCATAGTAATGCCTTCCAATATTTAATACTTTGCAATGTTTAATTTATAGTTCCTACTGCTAAAAGGAAAAAAAATCTTTACCCTTCAGTGCTTACATTATTTGGTCCACTGTTATCTGTGTCAAATATGACAGTGGATATGCTCCACTTGTGGTAGCTGACATGCCCTCTTGTTTTCCTTGATTATGACTTTTTCACTTGATTTTTTTCTTGCCATGAGCAACACCTGAGATAATCACTAGTGGAGCAGGACTGTGTATTTTTTGGATCACCTGATATTAAGTGGGATTCATGTTGCTTAATCTGTAGTGTATGTCTTGTGTTTTGTTGTTTATTGTTTCAAAGTTTTTTATTGGACCATGATTTTGTTTTTCCTGGACTTTTGGTTTTTAGCTCACATTTCCATTGCCATTCCGTCGTCTGTCCGGTGTAAACTATTTCAAACATCTTCTCCTCTGAAACTACTGAACCAATTCCAACCAAACTTAAGCTGAATGATCCTTAGGGTATCGAGAATAAAGTTTGGGTTTTATTTTCTGTTTCGTCAAAAAACATGGCCACCATGGCTAAAAATAGAACATAGGGGTAAAATGCAGTTTTGGCTTATATCTCAAAAACTTAAGCATTTGGAGCAAACCTGACATGTGGTAAAAATGTTCATTAGGTCAAGTTCCATCAGCCCTGAAATTTTCAGATGAATCTAACAACCCATTTTTGGGTTGCTGCCACTAAATTGGTAATTTTAAGGAAATTTTACAGCTTTTGGTTATTATCTTGAATATTTTTATAGATAAAGTTAAACTGTAAACAGCAAAAATGTTTAGCAAAGTAAGATCTATAAATATGTTTTATATAACCAAAATTGTCAATTGACCCCTTAAGGAGTTATTGCTCTTTAAAGACAATTTTACACAATTTGTTCATCTAGTTTGCTTACTTTAAAAAATCTTCTCCTTTGAAACTACTGAACCAAATTAAACCAAACTTAAGCTGAATGATTCTTAGGTTATATAGAATAAAGTTTGTGTTTTATTTTCTGTTTCCTCAGAAAACAAGGCTGCCATGGCTAAAAATAGAACATAGGATAAAATGCAGTTTTTGACTTATATCTCAAAAACTAAAGCATTTAGAGCAAATCAGACAAGAAGTTAAAGTATTCATTAGGTCAAGGTCTACCTGCCCTGAAATTATCAGCCAAATCGAGTATCTGATTTTTAGGTTATTGCCCCTGAATTAATGATTTTAAGGAAATTTTACAGCTTTCGGTTATAATCTTGAATATTATTATAGATAAAGATTAACTATAAACAGCAAAAATGTTCTGCAAAGTAAGATCTACAAAGAAGTTTATGACCAAAATTGTCAATTGACCCCTTAAGGAGTTATTGCCCTTTAAAGACAATTTTTCACAATTTGTTCATCTAGTTTGCTTACTTTAAAATATCTTCTCCTTTGAAACTGCTGAATCAATTTCAGCCAAATTTGGGCTGAATGAGTTTCAGAGTATCTAGTATAAATTTTGTATTTTATTTCCTTGTACGTCAAGAAACATTAGCTACTATGGCTAAAATGGAACATAGGGGTAAAATGCATTTGTTTGCTTTTGAAGAAAATATGAAAGATTCAAAGAACATTTAAATGGCATTTTTAAGCCACTCATTATATATGTATACTGAAAATCAAAAATAATTTGATGAAAGATTTAAGCAAAAAATTACAGGTGAGCGATTCAGGCTATTGAGAGCCTCTTGTTAAGAGATAATGTGGCTGACCTCGTATTCATACTTCAGTAACTTTGGGATTTGTATTTAGTGTTAAGCTTTCTGTCATGTGTGTTTCTAAAGAAATATATTATAAGGTGTATAATACTTTGTATGCTGTTGGATCGGGATACCTTCATTTCAGTTTTAGATATGAGGCTCCAGCTGTTTATTCATGTTTCAGGGATCTTGGAAATAAGGCATGTTTACGATGTTCAGTGTTTTTATATGCCCATCTTTAAAAACAGGACATATAATGGTAAACTGTGGTCTGTCTGTCTGTACGTCCGTCTGACAATAACTCACAAATGCTTTCACCAGTTTTTCATGAAACTTTGTTGAATTGCTTATCTCTATTGATGTGAAAATTTTAGAGTTGCATTTCCGAGTTATTGGATTATTCATAAAAAAATGGAGGAGTTTCAAGTTTTTTTTACTATAACTCAAAAATGCTTTGAGCAATTTTCTTGAAACTTTGATGAATTATTTATATATGTTGACATTAGATTTTTTTTCGATTTTAAAAATTTCCAGTTCTACATTTTGGAGTTATGGGATTTTATTCATAAAAAAGGGGGGACTTTCCAGTTTTCTGACAATAACTCAAAAATGCTTCGAGCAGTTTTAATGAAACTTTGGTGTCTTGTTTATGTCTATTGAAATAAGCTCCCACATGGCTCCTAGATGTAAGCCATTGCCATCACTTTGTGTCTGTCATCGTTGTCCTTTGTCTTTGTAAACTTTTTCGAAGATTTTCTCCTCTGAAACTACTGAACCAATTCAAAAATTATCAACGAAGATATTTTCAGACGAATCAGACAACCTAAGTTGGAGTTATTGCCCCTGAAATAATAATTTTCTTGAGATTTCTAAGTCTTTGGTTGTTATCTTGAAAACTATTATATATAAGAGAAATTTTGAACAGATAAAATGTTCAGCAAAGTAAGATCTACCAATAAGTCTTAGAAAAAAATTCGTCAGTTGATCCATTATAGGAGTTATTGCCCGTGAATGACTATTTTTATTGATTTTTTAATTTTTTTTATCAGAAACTATGATAGATAGACAGAAACTTCAAACAGCAAAAATTTTCAGCAAAGTAAAACCTACAAATAAGTCTACATGACCATTTATCCCTTATAGGATTTATTGCCCTTGAAAGATAACTTTTACCTTTTTAGTCCCCTACCGACGAAGTCAAAGGAGACTTAAGGTTTGCACTCAGTCTGTCTGTCTGTCTGTCCATCCGTCAGTACGGCAAATCAGTTTTCCACACTTTTTTTCTTTGTGCTTGAAGATATTGATTTGAATTATGGTATATAGTTTTATCATGACTAGTTACAGATCAAGTTCAAATTATGTTCTGGTCTGATGATTTTGTGCAGAGTTATGGTCCTTGGACTTAAAAAATTCACTCAAATAATCAGTTTTCCATGCTTTTTTTTGTCATGCTTGAAGATATTGATTTAATAATTGGTATATAGTTTAAACATGGCAAGTTATAGATCAAGTTAGCATTTTGTTCCAGTGCACTGAATTCTTAACCGGTAGGGGACTATGTATTGCCATGCAATACTCTCAGAATGCCTGTTTTTTTATTTTTTGCAGAAATTTTCATAGATAAATGAGAATCTTTATCGGCATGTCTAAACATGTATTAATATATATTAAACGGCAAAATAATCATTGATGCATGATCTACACAGAAAATTCCAGATGAACAATTGAGACTCTTATGGGTCTCTTGTTTTGGTTATGTCTATGAAAAGACCAGTGGTCATCAAGTTATTACCATAGCTAACATGTTGTTTTGTCATGTCAACCAAAAATAAGGGTGTAACAGTTGCTTAACATTTGATGGAAAATATTTTTCTACACACCAGCTTTAAAGCATGTTAACGAATGTTTGAATTTTATCTTTACAGGGAGCTGGTTTCCTGTTTAGGCAAAAGAAGGGTACCAGTATATCTGGTATCAGGTGGCTTTCAAAGTATACTGGTACCGGTAGCAGAACAACTTGGTTTACCAATAGAAAATATAATAGCTAATAGACTAAAATTTTATTACAATGGTAAGATTTTTACCAGTATATAACAGGTAGTTTATGATCCATAAGATCACAATAAATATAGAATTAATGCCATGGCAAAGTTTCCTCTACACATTTTCATGAAAAAATCTAAGTTCGTGTTCGATCAGCAATTCAAGATCTATTAAAATGCAGAAATGATCGAACTAATTTGATGACTTCTTTTAGAGGTTATTAATGTAAATGAAGATTTTTTTTAAAAGTGGGTAGAAACTTAAGAATAGGAAAATTTCGACAGCTGAGCAAATTAAACATTCAAGAGCCTCTTGTTGTTTTGTGGATATGTCTATATAAGCATAGAATTGATATGTTAATTTGTTTTGTAATTTACTGTTTATAAAATGTTGAATTATTCAAAACACTAAGGTTTTTCTATCCCCAGGTATAGATTGCCTTAGCTGTATTTGGTACAACTTTTCAGAATTTTCCTATTTTACTTCTCTTCAACTTGTACTTGATTTTGCCTTCTAGCTGTTTAGATTATGAAGACAAACTGCATGCCTGGTGAACCAAATTATAAGGGAGCTACCATTTGATTTTTATGGGGGGGCTAGGATGAAATTTGAAAAAAATAGGCAGGACAGGAGTTTTGAGTAAAAAAAAAGCAGGATGAGGCACTTGCAAAAAAAAAAAGTCAGGATGACAATTTAGGTAAAAAAAAGTCAGGATAAACTTTAACAAAAAAGGCAGGACCGAATAGAGTGAAAAATTAAAAGGCAGGACAGAGATTACAACTAAAAAAAAATGCAGGACAAAATTGTTCATCCTAGCCCCCCATAAAAATCAAATGGTAGCTCCCTAAGCATGGTATCTTTGATGATTTTTTTTAAAGTAATTTTTGGACCAACAAATATAGAGCACATGTAACTGACAACTAATAGTGTTTGGCAAAAGGTGCTTTATTATAATAATGCAATCATATATAGTTATACCAAACATGGTATAAATAATCTACAATGAACAAAGTGTCAATATGAAGCACCTGAACACAAACGAAGTTGCCAAACATGTGTGTAATCTTGATCTTGTCTAGTCTTTGACCAATTCAATAAAAGAAGGATACCCTTATCACTAACAACAACATTCTTCGTGATCAGTTGTCCACAGGAATTAAAAGACGCAGAGCTTCTGCTGACCAGATGACCAGACTCCCTAAATAGATATAGGAAGATATGGTATGAGTGCTAATGAGACAACTCTCCATCCAAGTTACAATTTATAAAAGTAAACCATTATAGGTCAAGGTACGGCCTTCAACACGGAGCCTTGGCTCACACCTAACAGCAAGCTATAAAGGGCCCCAAAAAATTACTAGTGTAAAACCATTCAAACGGAAAAACCAACGGTCTAATCTATATAAAAACGAGAAACGAGAAACATGTATGAACTACAATAGTACATAAACAGACGACAACTACTGTAATCAGATTCCTGACTTAGGCCCTAAGCATACCAAAAAATGCCAACATTAGAAAACACCATAAACAAGCATCTACATAATCATAAATATTAAACAACTGAACAATATCATTTAAAAGTGTCTGTAACAATGGCAATTTTGACATGGATTAATCCCCTTAAATTCAATACACCTTATCGCTAATCCCGCTTGACCCGAGAATCAGTCCCGCTTGAACTTTTGACGTCATACAACAATCACTTTTCCATTGTGGCGTCAGATATTTTCTATTATGACGTCAAAATTTTTCGGGAACTTGTGTGATGTCCAGTAATGGCGGACAAATAGCGATAAGGTGTATTTCTAATCTGTAGAAGAAAAAAAAGTTCCACAGTAAAACCAAACAGTTGACACCAGGTCTTAATGCCAGAAATATAATTTTTACAGAAGAAAAACTGTAAACACACAAGGTATCCTTTATGGAAAATATAAATTGTAGAAACACTAAAAAAATATGGTATGAATTGAGTTGACTCTTCGGGTTAGAAAAAGTACCAGGCCAAAAGGCTGCCCCTTTAGCAAGCTTGACCTCTTCTGTAAAACTGCTGTTCTGGACTTAAGACCTGGAAGCTACAAGACAACAGTAGTTAGATAAACTACAATGTAATATTAATTATTTTTGTTACTCTTATCACCAATTTTGAGCTAAAATAGTACAAAAGTATCATGTATGCACACCTAGATATATATGATATCATTAAACATGTAACATTACTAGAATCTGCTTTCTCAACAAAAAAATCTGAATTATACATCTTAGATTCTATAAACAAAAAATGTGTTCTGTTCTTCTCTGAAAGATTCTAATGGGATAACAAATCCGATAACCAATTTCCAACAGATGCTATATAACTCACACGTAATTGCACATTACTGTCACACACAAGTACCATATTTGACGTACTAAATTCAACATTTCCTGATTCCTTCTTATAATCTTCCAACAGTTTTTCCCGTAATTGTATGTTAAAAAAATATAACGTACTGGAATTTAACAATCATGAATACGCAAAATTCTGTTTGTCACTGTAAAAAAAGGCTTCAAGAACATGTGAAAATTTATTCATATCCATTTCACTAAATCTGAACCACACATTTTTTGATATATTTCCACTCATATCTGGTGGATACTCAAAATCAATAGTCCCTGCTGTTTTGGTAACCATGGACAAACATTTAAAACTAAAAGTACACTATTAGTTTCATCAACAACATTGTAATTCATGTAATTGTTATCATTGACAACAGTGTCAAAATCAGTGCTACATAATAAAGGTTGCAATAAGTAGTAATATTTTCAAAAAAAGACACACCTGTAAACACAGGGGAGAATTTTTCACTACAAGTATTACCACCATAAGAAAAGCCTGTTAAATCTACACTAGGGGAGCTTGACACGACTATGAATGCAGGCGTCGTCAACAAGTAGGTTCAGTCTGTGGTTAAAGTTTTTTTAGACAGTCTGGGATTACATTTTTTTTACATGATAAATTTGTAAACCTTAATGGATTGTTATGAAACTTGGACAAAAGCTAATCTTCAAGACCAAGAAAAAAGCATCGAAAGAAAAAGTGTGAATTTTTTTTTTAATTCTGTATTTTACTGATAAATGGACTCACTTTTTAGCTCACCTGACCTGAAAGGTCAAGTGAGCTTTTCTCATCACTTTGCGTCCGTCGTCCGTCGTCCTGCGTCCGTCGTCCGTCGTCCGTAAACTTTTACAAAAATCTTCTCCTCTGAAACTACTGGGCCAAATTTAACCAAACTTGGCCACAATCATTATTGGGGTATCTAGTTTTAAAAATGTGTGGCGTGACCCGGTCAACCAACCAAGATGGCCGCCACGGCTAAAAATAGAACATAGGGGTAAAATGCAGTTTTTAGCTTATAACTCAAAAACCAAAGCATTAAGAGCAAATCTGACATGGGGTAAAATTGTTCTTCAGGTCAAGATCTATCTGCCCTGAAATTTTCAGATGAATCGGACAACCTGTTATTGGGTTGCTGCCCCTGAATTGGTAATTTTAAGGAAATTTTGCTGTTTTTGGTTATTATCTTGAATATTATTATAGATAGAGATAAACTGTAAACAGCAATAATGTTCAGCAAAGTAAGATTTACAAATAAGTCAATATAACCGAAATGGTCAGTTGACCCCTTTAGGAGTAATTGCCCTTTATAGTCAATTTTTAACCATTTTTCGTAAATCTTAGTCATCTTTTACAAAAATCTTCTCCTCTGAAACAACTGGGCCAAATTAAACCAAACTTGGCCACAATCATCATTGGGGTATCTAGTTTAAAAAATGTGTGGCGTGACCTGGCCAACCAACCAAGATGGCCGCCACAGCTAAAAATAAAACATAGGGGTAAAATGCAGTTTTTGGCTTGTAACTCAAAAACCAAAGCATTTAGAGCATATCTGACATGAAGTAAAATTGTTTATCAGGTCAAGATCTATCTGCCCTGAAATTTTCAGATGAATCGAACAACCTGTTGTTGGGTTGCTGCCCCTGAATTGGTAATTTTAAGGAAATTTTGCAGTTTTTGGTTATTATCTTGAATATTATTATAGATAGAGATAAACTGTAAACAGCAATAATGTTCAGCAAAGTAAGATTAACAAATAAGTCAACATGACTGAAATGGTCAGTTGACCCCTTTAGGAGTAATTGCCCTTTATAGTCAATTTTTAACCATTTTTCGTAAATCTTAGTCATCTTTTACAAAAATCTTCTCCTCTGAAACAACTGGGCCAAATTAAACCAAACTTGGCCACAATCATCATTTGGTTATCTAGTTTTAAAAATGTGTGGCGTGACCTGGTCAACCAACCAAGATGGCCGCCACGGCTAAAAATAGAACATAGGGGTAAAATTCAGTTTTTGGCTTTTAATTCAAAAACCAAAGCATTTAAAGCAAATCTGACATGAAGTAAAATTGTTTATCAGGTCAAGATCTATCTGCCCTGAAATTTTCAGATGAATCGGACAACCCGTTGTTGGGTTGCTGCCCCTGAATTGGTAATTTTAAGGTAATTTTGCTGTTTTTGGTTATTATCTTGAATATTATTATAGATAGAGATAAACTGTAAAAAACAATAAATGTCGGCAAAGTAAGATCTACAAATAAGTCAACATGACCGAAATTGTCAGTTGACCCCTTTAGGAGTTATTGCCCTTTATAGTCAATTTTTAACCATTTTTTCGTAAATCTTAGTAATCTTTTACAAAAATCTTCTCCTCTGAAACTACTGGGCCAAGTTAATTATAGATAGAGATCATTGTAAGCAGGAAAAATGTTCAGTAAATTAAGATGTACAAACACATCACCATCACCAAAACACAATTTTGTCATGAATCCATCTGCGTCCTTTGTTTAATATTCACATAGACCAAGGTGAGCGACACAGGCTCTTTAGAGCCTCTAGTTAAGTCAACATTACACTGACAACAGCAATCGCAGGCGAGACACAGGGTTCTGTGGAACCCCTTACAAATTTTTCTTTAAGCAAGATAAATTCATTATAGTGCACACCTGAATAATCAAGGGAAGCAATCACACCTGACATTGCAGGGGGTTCCACAATATTATCATTATGTTCTGAATTATCACATAATAACATGCCCGCATTTGCAGGGGAATATGATTTCTCTTTACAAATGGTAAATTCATTATAGTACACACCTGATTACTCAGGGAATGCAATCAAAACTGACATTGCAGGGGGTTTCACAATATTATCAATATGTTCTGAATTATCACATAATAACATGCCCGCATTTGCAGGGGAATATGATTTCTCTTTACGAATGGTAAATTCATTATAGTACACACCTGAATATTCAGGGGATGCAATCACAACTGACATTGCAGGGGGTTTCACATTATTATTATTATGTTTGAAATTATCACACAATAACACCCGCATTTGCAAGTATGATTTCTCTTTGTGAATGGTAAATTCATTTTAGTACACACCTGAATAATCAGGGGAAGCAATTACATCTGACATTGCAGGGGGTTTCACAATATTATCATTATGTTCTGAATTATCACACAATAACACCCGTATTTGCAGGTATGATTTCTCTTTGTGAATGGTAAATTCATTATAGTACAAACCTGGCACAGCAGGGGGTTTTATAATATTATGCTGAATATAATTATTGCTCATTTTAGCAGATTCACAATGTAGCACTGAAGTTGAACATCATTCATGATTATGACAATCCTTCGATGGATGTTGAACAGATGTGTCTCTTGAGTCTTTGCCTTTACGAATACACTTCCTGCAAACATGCAATAATTTTTTGTCTCCATAAGCAATTAAATGATCTACGGAATTGCTACAGTTTCACACTGATAAAAGCTACAAATTGGATTGCGATTAACCTTATCCCTGAGTACTTCCTCTGTTAGTTTAGATGAAGATTAAAGGGGAGAGATGAGAGTGTGGCCTTGTTCTTTCAAAAAAATCAAATACATAATAAACATGATAAAATGTGGCTTGAACATGCTCTCTTGCTTAAAACCACATGTTAACTAAAACCCGGATGAAGGCATTATCAATTAGGTACAATGAGAGTTGCCCCCCATTGTATGCAAGTATCAACTAATTGATTTATAATAATGTTTGTCTATATGAAAAACTCCTGATGTAATATTTTTTGTGGTACTTGCAATTGCTTAATATTTCCCAATCACAAATATGTGTCAACATATGCAGTTTTTGTCTTGCCTGCGACTGCGAGACATAGGATTACTATCCAGCGATGCGGCTGCAATGTAAACTATTTATATAAAGCTTTATATTTCAGAAGGTAGGATGCTTCATACCTTGTATGCAGATACCTTATGGTTTGAAGTTTCAGTCTGTTATATGTCCATTGTCCTTGACCTCATTTTTATGGTTCAACAACTGCTTGAAAAAAAATTATAGTTTTTTTGTCATGTGAATTTCTCACTTATTATGAGTAATAGGATAACTATATTTGGTGTATGGAATGATTGTAAGGTGCACATGTCAGCCTGGCAGGTATCATCTGACTTTGACATAATTTTCATGGTTCATTATTCAATGTTTAGTTTTTGTGTTTTGGTCTGTTTTTCAAATACTAATAGCAATAGGTCAGCTATATTTGGTGTATGGAATGATTGTAAGGTGTACATGTCATTCTGGCAGGGTTCATCTGATCTTGACCTTATTTTCATGGTTCATTGGTCAATGTGAAGTTTTCCTTATTAAGTCTGTTTCTCAGGTACTATAACCAATAAGGTCAACTATATATGATGTATTGAATGATTGTAATGTGCACATGTCTGCTTTGCAGGGTTCATCTGACCATGTGCTAATTTTCATGGTTCATTGGTCAATATTAAGTTTTCATGGTTTGGTCTTTCTTAGATACTATTAGCAATAGGTCAACTGTATTTGGTGTATGTAATGAATTGTAAGATATATATGTCTGTCTGGCTTGGATTATCTCACCTTGATTCTATTTCATGGATTATTGAATTGATAATGTTAAATTTATGCAAAACTTGTAGTAAAACTTTATCTTTAAGACTATCATCATAAAATTAATCATGAATAGTAAAGCAGGCAAGACATTTCAGCATGTGCACTCTTGTTATAATATTTTGTAAAACAAATAAATTTATGCTATCTTTTCACTCCATTATCTTTTTTTAAGGTCAGAAAGAGCCTATAGTGCACTGCCTCCTTTTAATGCAAATAATTGCTTGCTCTTGTCATGACATAGTTTATTGATGAAAATCAAAGGGTATTTTTACTCTCATTTTAAAATATTTTGCCATGTAAGACAATTTTTATGCCTTTAAAAAATCTTCTTGACACTGAGATTTGAAATGTGATGTTACAATAAACCATTCAAAATGATAAATGTTTCGTTTTGATTTTTAGATTCATTGTCTATGTTAAGCAGAAAATGTTAATTTGAGACCAGAGATTTTTGTATCCAGTCAAATGCATTAGGTCATTATTGGTATTGTTGATATTGTGTTTCCATCAAAAAAGAAACTCAACTTTCAAATGACCAAAATAAACTGATATTCAGGCCTGACTGCTTAAGTATCATTACACAAATGTTTTCCTTACAAAATATTTAGACAATTTTGCTGAAAACTGTCAGGCTGAGGGAACAATATTTTTAAAGAAGAATGCATTTTATTTGTAGGTGATTATGCTGGATTTGATGAAAATCAGCCGACATCCTCCTCAGGAGGGAAGAAAGTTGTCGTAGAAACATTGAAGAACAAACATGGATATAAAAGTCTAGTTATGATAGGAGATGGTGCTACAGATATGGAAGCTTGTCCGCCTGCTGTAAGTGTTGGATGATAGCATCATTATATTTGGGGAAGCTTTTTTTTTTCGGACTGTCTTGACTATACATCACAAAAGCTCATGTAATTTACAAAGTAATCGAATAATGTTGACAGAATGATTTCATGCAGAATTTAATTCCAGAAGAAAAATCATTTTGAAATTTGGTAGGCCACATGAAAAAAAATATTTTCACTTTTATATACAATTATTTCCTGCATTTAGTTTGGTAGAATATTCATTTATATCCTGTCATGGTCAATATAATTTTTTTTTTCAGTTTTCAGTTCCCAAAGGAATGTGAAAAAATGGATAGAATTAATTAAATGCTATGTGTAGTCAAACACACCCTATCAGAATAATACTTACTATTTCCCATTCCAAAAACACACCCTATCAGAATAATACTTAATATTTCCCATTCCAAAAACACACCCTATCAGAATAACACTATATATTTCCCATTCCAAAAACTCACCCTATCAGAATAATACTTAATATTTCCTTTTCCAAAAACACACCCTATCAGAATAATACTTAATATTTCCCATTCCAAAAACACACCCTATCAGAATGATACTTAATATTTCCCATTCCAAAAACACACCCTATCAGAATAATACTTACTATTTCCCATTCCAAAAACTCACCCTATCAGAATAATACTTACTATTTCCCATTCCAAAAACTCACCCTATCAGAATAATACTTACTATTTCCCATTCCAAAAACTCACCCTATCAGAATAATACTTACTATTTCCCATTCCAAAAACTCACCCTATCAGAATAATACTTAATATTTCCCATTCCAGAAACTCACCCTATCAGAATAATACTTACTATTTCCCATTCCAAAAACTCACCCTATCAGAATAATACTTACTATTTCCCATTCCAAAAACAAACATCTACTTTAACACCATGAGTAGATTTAATTTTGTTAATGCAAAAAATTACTTTTAAATGAAAAAAAAAACATAATGGAATTGCATTATACAATGTATTCTTGTGCACTTCAAATTTTTGTGTGAAGTTGATATTTACTATTTTAGTCACTGTCCTTACAGTTTAGATACACGGGACATATGTTTTTGTAATTTTTAACCTGTAATTTTACTTTGTGTTTAAGTCTGCAAGGATAACCATTAAAACTTAATTTTTTTGTGTATCATTTTGAGTAGTTTTAGTATTTTTCAGTCATTGAATTTTTGTTTACTGTTACTTTCCTATCCCAATAAATTGTTGCTTTCCCTGAAGAAATTTTCGTTTGTTAAATTGATCATTTCTGGAATGCAAAAGTTAAAACTTAACAAGGTTTGAGTTTTGATTTGTAAATGAGTTTGAATTACAGTGTTTAAATAATTAACTTCAAAATGATTTAAAGTAAAAAAAAAAGACCAGAGGACATATCTAATTGCAAACATTTATCTTGAACACTCTGTTCAACTAACAAGGAATTACAGTCGATTCACTTCTTCTACTACCAAAAGGTCTTTAATGCCCACATTGTTTTTCTCTTTGTTTTAATAATATAGAAATATTAAGACGTCCAACAAAACTGTATTGGTAGTAGAAGGAAAAGACAACATCATAGCCAGAAGAACACAGACATTATAGAACAGAGTTCCAATGTCACCCGCGTTGCACATATTTTATATTTTCAAGGGGCATAACTCTTTTAAAAAAAGTCGATAATCCACCATTATACAATATATCCAAGATATTGCTGATATTAACCTATAGTATAAGTTTTATAAAAATCTGGCAAGAATTGTACCTGTGAGAGCACTAACTAGGCCATTTTCCATAAATTTAATATTTCCAAGGGGCATAACTCTTTTAAAAAATGTCGATCGTCCACCATCATAGAACTTGTTCGAGATATTGCTGATATTAACCTATAGTATAAGTTTTATAAAAATCTGGCAAGTATTGTACCCCTGAGAGCGCTCGCGAGGCCATTTTCCATAAATTTAATATTTCCAAGGGCATAACTCTTTTAAAAAAAGTCGATCGTCCACCATTATATAATTTGTCCAACGTTGCCGATATTAACCTTTAGTATAAGTTTTATAAAAATCTGGCAAGAATTGTATCCGAGGGCGCTAATGAGGCCATTTTCCATAAAGTTAATATTTCCAAGGGGCATAACTCTTTAAAAAAGTTGATCGTCCACCATCAAAGAACTTGTCCGAGATATTGCTGATATTAAGCTGTAGTATAAGTTTTATAAAAAATCTGGCAAGAATTGTACCCCTGAGAGCGCTAGCAATCCATTTTCCATAAATTTAATATTTCCAAGGGGCATAACTCTTTAAAAAAGTTGATCGTCCACCATCAAAGAACTTGTCCAAGATATTGCTGATATTAAGTTGTAGTATAAGTTTTATAAAAAATCTGGCAAGAATTGTACCCCTGAGAGCGCTAGCAATCCATTTTCCATAAATTTAATATTTCCAAAGGGCATAACTCTTTTAAAAAAAGTCGATCATCCACCATTATACAACTTGTCCGACGTTGCCGATATTAACCTATAGTATAAGTTTTATAAAAATCTGGCAAGAATTGTACCTGTGAGAGCGCTAACAAGACCGAACAGACGAGTGGACGGATGGACAGAAGGACGGACGGCCGGTATTTCCATGTCCCTGCAACGCGTTAAGCAGGGGACAAAAAGACAAACAACAGTCAACAAAGAGCTACTAAGAAAACTAAACATTGAGCAAAATGATCCCAACAAAAACCTGGGATAAACTCATGAGCTCCAGAAGGGTTTGCAATTCTGCTACACTCGGAAGGCTTTTAAAATTCCATGATGACTTTGGAAATTGTCTTTGGTCTTTTATTAAGAAATTACCTTAAATATTAATTATCTGACACATGTATGATCTCAAACCCTCTCTATGTAGAGAAACTGACTTGGTTTCATTAAAGGTATAAATTGTACTATTTAAATTAACAGAGAAATAATATTTCCATTCTATTTGTTATTGTGTTAAGATTACTTTTTGTTTTTTAGGATGCATTTATAGGATTTGGTGGCAATATTATAAGAGAAAAAGTGAAACAGAGTGCGCCTTGGTTTGTGACTGACATGCAGGAATTGATAAATGAAATAAAAGAATAAAAACTTCATGGGAACTTATAACTCAATATAAAAGAGATTCTTCATTTCAGAAGTTATATGGAGTGGTAGCAGGAATATCATGCCAGTACGTTTTGACTAATCAAACCCAGATTGTCATGTGAGCTATTGTCACATCTAGGTGTTTTCATGATGCATGAAACCTAACAATTGTTTTTAGTCAAATATTGGATGGACAACCTTTGCTTTCAAATAAGTCCTGACTGAAAATTAATTTTTAAGCTGATAGTTGCTGCCTTGTCTTTCAAGCAATGCATCTGTTCGTAATAATGGGTTTCAAGATGGGAAATTAAGATTGCATATATCTGTCTACTTTGGCCTAAATATTAAATATAGGTCAATAGTTAAAATGATCAGCAATGCAAGATCTACAAAAAATACCAATAAGCTAAAACAATCAAGTGACTTCTTATAGGAGTTAATTCTGTTGATGTTGATTTTTGACAATTTTTTACGTTTCTGCCTTTTATCTTGAAAAATTAAAGATATCACTTTTGCTATTCAGAAGTTATAGTCCTTGGTTGATTTTAAAATGCTGTGTAATAATTGTCTCGCCTGTGACGAAAGTCGCAGTATGCGAGACATAGGGATTACAATCCGGCGGTGGCATAAACTATTGGTATAATGCTTTATATTTCAGAAGGTAGAAGACCTGGATACATCATACCTTGTATGCAGGTACATTATGTTACGAAGTTTCCGTCTGTCATATGTCCATTGTCCTTGACCTCACTTTCTTGGTTCAGCGACTGCTTGAAAAAAAAATTATAGTATTTTTGTAATGTGAATTTCTCACTTGTTATGAGTAATAGGATAATTATATTTGGTATATGGGTTCTTTTCAACCTCTACATGTCCGTCAGACAGGGTTCACCTGACCTTGACCTCATTTCCTGGATCAGTGATTAAGGTTAAAGTTAGGTGATTAGTTCCGTTTCTCGGATACTATAAGCAGTAGGTCAACTATATTTGGTGTAAGGAATGATTGTAAGGGAAACATGTCAGTCTGGCAGGGTTCATCTGACCTTGACCTCATTTTCATGGTTCATTGGTCAATGTTAAGTTTTTGTGTTTAAGCAGTAGGTCAACTATATTTGGTGTATGAAATGATTGTGAGGTGTGCATGCGGTCAAGCTGGTATCATCTGACCTTGACCTCATTTCTTGGTTCATTGGTCAATGTTTAGTTTTTGTGTTTTGGTCTGTTCTTACGATACTAATAGCAATATGTCAGCTTTATTTGGTGTATGGAATAATTGTAAGGTGTACATGTCTGTCTGGCAGGTATCATCTGACCTTGACATCATTTACATGGTTCATTGGTCAATGTTAAGATTTGTGTTTTTGTCTGTTTTTCAATTACCATAAGCAATAGGTCAACTATATTTGGTGTATGGAATAATTGTAAGGTGAACATGTCTGTCTGACAGGATTTATCTGACCTTGACATCATTGTTATGGATCTTGAAAAATGTTAAGTTTATGTGATACTTGTAGTAAAACCTTATCTTTAAGACTTTCAACATAAAATCAATGGTCAGTAAAGTAGACGAGACATTTCAGTGTGTGCACTCTTGTATAATTTTCTATGTGATAATTTGAGAACTCTTCAATTAATCCACTTGAAATTTGAATAAGTTGATTCTAATATGTGAAAATGGGCCATGTTTGATTTTATCATTTTCCCTTTTTGCCATTCTGGAGTAATAGTCTTTGATGTATGTGAACCATTAAACCAATCCTTTTTGAATTTGAACATGTTATTTCTTGTGACAAAATTGAGAATTAGTTTAAAATTGATGATTTTTGTTTTATGTCATTCAAGTGTAATGGTACTTCATTGATTGACACATGCTGCATTATTCCTCTCGATGTTATAAATTGAGATTCGTTGTACCAATCCTTTCCAAATTTTGGTATGTTGCTTTTCTTGGCAAACTGAGGGTCAAGTTCGATACTGACCATTTTCACTTTTGCTGTTCATAAGTTAAGGTTCTTGATTGATTGAAAAATGCTGCTTTACCCCGATATGTTGTTTCCATGCAATAACTTGCGAACTATTGATCTAATTTCTTTAGAATTTTGATAAAGCATTATTTGTTAGCACTTACACAATTACAATAAATGGCAATATAGTTTACAAGAAAAAAAAATAAATGTTACTAAGATAGTAGTAACAATAGATATCATATATTGGTTATCTCTTTAAAAGCAGCTAACTTCTTATCAATAACCATTCGTTTATAATCAACATCATTTTTGTCGAGCCTTCGACTTTTGTCGAAAAAACGAGACATAGCGATCCTACATTCTGTCGGCGTCGTCGTCGGCGTCGTCGGCGGCGTCCACAAATATTCACTCTGTGGTTAAAGTTTTTGAAATTTTAATAACTTTCTTAAACTATCCTGGATTTCTACCAAACCTGGACAGAAGCTTGTTTATGATCATAAGATAATATTCAAAAGTAAATTTTGTAAAAAAAAAATTCCATTTTTTCCGTATTTTACTTATAAATGGACTTAGTTTTTCTGCCAGGAAACATTACATTCACTCTGTGGTTAAAGTTTTTGAAATTTTAATAACTTTCTTAAACTATCCTGGATTTCTACCAAACTTAGAAAGAAGCTTGTTTATGATCATAAGATAGTATCCAGAAGTAAATTTTGTAAAAAAAAAATTCCATTTTTTCCGTATTTTACTTATAAATGGACTTAGTTTTTCTGCCAGTTAACATTACATTCACTCTGTGGTTAAAGTTTTTAAAATTTTAACAACTTTCTTAAACTATCCTGGATTTGTACCAAACTTGGACAGAAGCTTGTTTATGATTAAAAGCTAGTATCCAGAAGTAAATTTTGTAAAAAAAAAATTCTATTTTTTCCGTATTTTACTTATAAATGGACTTAGTTTTTCTGTCAGTTAACATTACATTCACTCTGTGGTTAAAGTTTTTAAAATTTTAACAACTTTCTTAAACTATCCTGGATTTGAACCAAACTTAGACAGAAGCTTGTTTATGATTAAAAGCTAGTATCTAGAAGGAAATTTTGTTCCATTTTTTCCGTATTTTACTTATAAATGGACTTAGTTTTTCTTCCAGTTAACATTACATACAGTCTGCAGTTTAAGTTTTTAAAACATTTATTAGATTCATAAACTATCCTGGATTTTTACCAAACTTGGACAGAAGCTACTTACAATCAAAAGATAGTATAGAGAGGAATATTTTTATTAATTTTTTTCCTCATTTTTGCTGAGCCTGTGATTAACAGCAAAAAGTAGGCGAGACACTGGGTTCCGCGGAACCCTTACGAATTTTTCAATACAGTAGGTGAATTTCTGTTTAAAACTCATGATAACAAGCTGCTTGATATAAAAGATAATTTACTGTTTAACAGAACACTTTTGAATTTAAAGGGGCATTAATTGTCAAATTCACATTAACTGATTAGACTCAAATTCTCATATTTGATTTAAAACATACTCAAAGGTATATCCAAATTACAAAAAGTCTAAAATAAACAATTAACAATGCATGGACTTGATAATATGTATTAAAATTTCGTTTGTATTTGTAGTCTAGACGCCATCTAATTAACCATCGAGATGACCTCCGAAGACTGCCGACAGTCATGTAACCCGATATAAACATACATATGAACTTCGACAGAAAAAGGCCAATCGTAGTCTATTATGGTTAAAATGAAAATAGTTTGCTAATATTTTAAAACAAAAATGGACAGGCATCAAAATTGATTAGCAAGCAAATTGAGATCTACAATTAATTTCATTGGTTGTTGATTTCCTGATCCCCACTAAGTGGAGGCCATTTAATTTCAGGAGGGAGAGAAAACTTGAACTATCTTTTTTATCCTGATATCTTCCTTAATAAATAATGTGATCCTATTACTGAAGAAAAGGGAAATCCGTTGGTCTTAATTAAACTGAAAACCTGAATATTTTGAAAATAAATGCAACACAAACCAGAATAAAAAATTTACATGCCAGTACTGTTTGACTCACCGAACCCGAATTGTCATGTGAGCTATTGTCACATTTAGGTGTTGTCATGAGTAGTAGGAGGAATAGCATGCCAGTACTGTTTGACTCACCGAACCCGAATTGTCATGTGAGCTATTGTCACATTTAGGTGTTGTCATGAGTAGTAGGAGGAATAGCATGCCAGTACTGTTTGACTCACCGAACCCAAATTGTCATGTGAGTTATTGTCACATCTAGGTGTTGTCATGAGTAGTAGGAGGAATAGCATGCCAATACTGTTTGACTCACCGAACCCGAATTGTCATGTGAGCTATTGTCACATCTAGGTGTTGTCATGAGTAGTAGGAGGAATAGCATGCCAGTACTGTTCGACTCACCAAACCCGAATTGTCATGTGAGCTATTGTCACATCTAGGTGTTGTCATGAGTAGTAGGAGGAATAGCATGCTAGTACTGTTCGACTCACCGAACCCGAATTGTCATGTGAGCTATTGTCACATCTAGGTGTTGTCATGAGTAGTAGGAGGAATTGCATGCCAGTACTGTTCGACTCACCGAACCCGAATTGTCATGTGAGCTATTGTCACATCTAGGTGTTGTCATGAGTAGTAGGAGGAATAGCATGCCAGTACTGTTCGACTCACCAAACCCGAATTGTCATGTGAGCTATTATCACATCTAGGTGTTGTCATGAGTAGTAGGAGGAATAGCATGCCAGTACTGTTCGACTCACCGAACCCAAATTGTCATGTGACTCATCAAACCAAAATTCAACCATTAAATACTTTTTGATTGAATTTGGATTTGTTGTTTCTTATGAAAAAATAGAGGTGAGGTTTAATTTTGAGGATTTTTTACTTTTGCCATTCAGGGGTTATTGTACTTGATTGATTGACAAATGCTACTTCATTTCTTGCCGTGCGAATTGAGAATCATTGTGCCAATCCTTAAAATGATGGTATGATGCCGTGAAGGAAGACAAAGAAGCTGGAATGGCCACTGACCTTAAGCATGAAAACTAGCAATCATAGTCAATTAAGATCATAGTCAATTAAGATTGGAGGTAAAAGGAAAAATAGTTGACTAATAATTTGAAACCACTAGTAAACAGGAAAATCGTTGACAGGGATGTAATGCTTAGTAGCTATAAAACTCAAATAAAAATTCGCAGTTCATGTATTAAGTCCTTTGTAACCGTTATGAAATTGGGTAAATATTGATGAGAGATATTATCAAACAGTGGACACTTTTTCACTGTTTAAAAGATAATAAAATTAACATTAGTAATGGATGATCACAAAAAAATCCATCAGAATTATTCTCCGAGTACAACTAGGAGTTGTTTAAAAAAAACCTTGACTAATCATGAGGGTCTCGCACGGTCTCTGGGTATTCTAAATAACGCTTAAGTTTGGAGTGTATATAGGAATTGCTGTCTGTACATGTCTAGTTCGATCTTTTGAATGCTCCGAACATATCAATGATATTTTGTATTGTAGACCACCACCAGACAACGTCCCTAACAAATATAGTGTTTGAATACTAGTATCTGTTTTAAAGCCCGGGTCAAGATCACAAATGGTTAGAGTTTATTTTCTAATTTTCAAAAGAGTATTGGAATAAGAATTGTGAGTGGCTTGAAAGATATTATTCTTTTGGAATTGTTTGTCCACCACCATAAGGTGTGTTGGGAATAAAGTTTGAATTGCTGTCTTCAAGTTTGCTTGCCGTGGGTGAGGGAGATGGTGGTTTATATCCCCGTTCAGGTCAAACCAAAGCATTTGCAGCTTCTCTGCTTAGCAAGCGTCATATTCCATTTATGTCTTATTGCTTCAGGGTATCTCGTTAACCTTTTCTTATCTGCGATTTTTTTTTATTTTATCAAACATGTTTTGGGACTTTCCTGCAAAACTTTCGTACAAAAAGATCGTATGCACTAAGTTTATGTCGTGTCCTAGAATACCCTACATTTGATTAAAAACAATTTCCGATCTTGTATAGAAACCAAATTTGTCCGGGTTTTTAAAATGAAACGCTATGAACTTTTGAATTATAGTTAATCAGGTATTGAAACCCTATTATAAGTAGAAAATGCGCGAAAATATCAATTGATTGCACTTTATCCCAAACTTAAATGTACTTAACAAATATTTGTCAATGCCTACAAAATAGCAAAATTAATATCTAAATGAAATACTGCGAACGTGACTGCGAGATATTGACACATTGATTTAAACTTTTGAATGGTTGCCTTAAAACAACTGATTTAAACTGTATAATAAGTTTTGTTGGTAAATGAAACCAGATTAAATCTTGAAAATGTGAGGAAATGTTTTTTTAATCAATACACTTTATTCCCAGAACCAGTGTATTGTTCGCTAAACAAATGTTTTTATCAATGCCTACAAACGAGCAAACAGGAGATCTTAAATAAAATACTGCGAACGTGACTGGCATATTGATGTAAGCTTTTGAATTTCTTCCCTGAAACAACTGGTATAAATTGGAGTCTTTTCATTTCGGTTTGCGTACTTTGCGGATCCTACCTTTGATTTCGTCCTGAATATGACATTGTACGTTAAGCAACCAACAAAGCCGTGCATTAGAGGTTTGCGCGTTCTTTGTGAAACTTAAATTCGGTGGTTCCCGAGTAAAAAACTAAAACTGTATAAATATAACCCCAACTCCCTGTTTTGACTGTCAAAAATTGTTAATTTTATTACAATAATTTCTGTCTCGCCGATTAATATCACAGAATGCAAGACATAGGGACGCTCGGCGGCAATATACAGCGGATGGTTTACTTCATCTGACCTTGACCTCATATTCATGATTCATTGATCAACGAATTAATTTTTTCGTGATTGGATCCGTTTCTCGGATTAAGAAGTAATAGGTCAACTATGTTTGGCATTTAGAAGGATTGTAAGGAGTGCATTTCCGTATGTCAGGGTTCGTCAGCCCATGACCTCATTTTCATGGTTCATTGGTCAAATTAAATTTTCAAGGCATGATGAGGTATGCTTCAGATCCTTTAAGCAATATGTCAAGTATGTTTGGTGTATATAATGATCGTAGGTGTTCACGTCCGTCTGACAGGGTTCATCTGACCGTGACATCAATTTCTTGGTCATTGGTCTACGTTAAGTTTTTTTGTGATTAGCGTTGTGTCTCAGATACCGTACGCAATTGATCAACTTTTGTTGTATATTATGATGATTGTATGATGTGTTCGTGCGTCTTACATGGTTAATGTGACAATGACCTCGTTTTCATGGTTCATTGATGATGTTAAGTTTATGTGATACCTATAGTAAGACATTGATCTTCAAGACAGTAAAGTAGGCGTTTCCTATTGTATTTAGCAATGAATATGTATTTCAACATATGTATGAACACCTGTTATCTTCTTCGATAAGTTAAAAATATTTTGAGGCTTTGACGTGATTTACCCATAATACACCAAACGTAAGTCGCGATTGTGTTTGATATTTTTCAAATAGACATTTTTTCAATAAGAACTATTCTTGCACTTTTCAATTATATTAAAAATAAGCATAAAGCATAAAAAAATCTGAAAGTCATTTAAATCAATACCGTTTCACAATTTATCAACTCAAGCCTACTTTAGATATAACTATTAATTCCTTCTAAAGGCCATAACATAACATGACAATTCCCTTTTAAGACTTCTGGAAAACATTCCTTCTGAAGGCCATGTAAGAATAAACAATTCTTTTTTACGTCAATTCTGTTTTATGTTATTGTTATTTTATTCAAATAGAATTAACTGAATCTATACTTACTAGATCCACAATTGGTTTCTCCAAGTTTAAGCCTATATATGGCAATCGCGAATAAATGAAATAACAAAAGAAATCTTAGGAATCACACTAAAAAGTTATAATCATTTAGAAATGTAATATATTTAAATATATATTTTACCAGTAAGATTTTGTACAGTTTAAATTTTAGCTTTTTTGAAACCAACACCTTTCAACCTTCGTATGATCTCGTATGTCATTTTCAAATGTAACTTAAAGATGTTGATAATAAAGATGAATTAGAACTGGTTGCTTCAAGTTGTTGATAATAAAGTTGAGCTAGAACTGGTTACTTCAAACTGTTGATAATAATGTTGAGTTAGAACAGTTAGCTGCATGCTGTTCATAATAAATGTAAGATATAACCGTTAGCTTCAAGCTGTTGATAATATAGTTGAGTTAGGACCGTTAACTTCAGGCTGTTGATAATATAGTTGAGTTAGATCTGGTTGCTTCAAGCTGTTGATAATAATGTTGAGTTAGATGTGGTTGCTTCAAGCTGTTGATAATAAAGTTGAGAAAGAACTGGTTGCTTCAAGCTGTTGATAATAAAGTTGAGTTAGATCTGGTTGCTTCAAGCTGTTGATAATAATGTTGAGTAAGAACTGGATGCTGCAACCTGTTGATAATAAAGTTAAGTTAGATCTGGTTGCTTCAAGCTGTTGATAATAAAGTTGAGTTAGAACTGGTTGCTTCAAGCTGTTAGTAATAAAGGTTAGTTAGAACTGGTTGCTTCAAGCTGTTGATAATAAAGTTGAGTTAGATCTGGTTGCTTCAAGCTGTTGATAATAAAGTTGAGTTAGAACTGGTTGCTTCAAGCTGTTAATAATAAAGGTTAGTTAGAACTGGTTGCTTCAAGCTGTTGATAATAAAGTTGGGTTAGATCTGGTTGCTTCAAGCTGTTGATAATAAAGTTGAGTTAGAACTGGTTGCTTCAAGCTGTTGATAATATAGTTGAGTTAGATCTGGTTGCTTCAAGCTGTTTATAATAAAGTTGAGTTAGAACTGGTTACTTCAAGCTGTTGACAATATAGTTGAGTTAGATTTGGTTGCTTCAAGCTGTTTATAATAAAGTTGAGTTAGAACTGGTTACTTCAAGCTGTTGATAATAAAGTTGAGTTAGAACTGGTTGCTTCAAGCTGTTGATAATAAAGTTGAGTTAGAACTGGTTACTTCAAACTGTTGATAATAAAGTTGAGTTAGAACTGGTTGTAGGTTCCAGTGACTGTTTAAATTGAAGAAGTACAACGAAATAAGTTGCCAGCATCCCACTTAACTGAAGAATAAAAGATGCCAATGTTATAAGTGTAAATATTAACCAAAATAATTTTGTATTCTTAGTTTTCCAAAATTATATAATTGTAAGCAAAACTGTTTAGTAAACGTTGTATTTTTTTTAAACAAGCTAAGCTGCTATGCAATCCGTCCATATCTTAGTATAAAGTGTGAATTGAACACATAAGATTAACTCTGTATGTTGTCTGTAGAAATTCATGTAGTCGAATACCTGTCTCGTGCATACAGCAATTCTCTGACAATTGTGCTCTTGATTTAAGAATACCAGCAAAATGTTCAGAGGCAAAATGATGAATAGACAAGAACACTTGCTTTATCATTCATATGAATTTGGAAATGAGTTTCAATCGGGTTGTTTTCGTATTTATCCTTTCAGAATTTTCAGAAAAGTTAATAGTTTTAACAGACTTTCAACGATCTGTCTTCAATACCAAATACCAGATATACACCCTTTCGAAAAAAAAAACTAAACCAAACAATAAAATTGAGAATGGAAATGGGGAATGTGTCAAAGAGTCAACAACCCGACCAAAGGCAGAAAACAGCCTAAGACCACCAATGGGTCTTCAACACAGCGAGAAAATCCCGCACCCGGAGGCGGGCTTCAGCTGGCCCCTAAACAAAAATGTGTACTAATTCAATGAAAATGGACGTCACACTAAACTCCAAAACATATAAATGAACTAAAATTAAAAAAACATGTAAGACTAACAAGGCCAGAGGCTCCTGACTTGGGACAGGCGCAAATATGCGGCTGGGTTAAACATGTTTTTTGAGATCTCAACACTCCCCTATACCTCTAGCCAGTGTAGAATAAACAAACACACAGCAATACGCACAGTAAAACTCAGTTTAAAAGAAGCCCGAGTCCGATGTCAGAATAGGTAACAAAAGAAACTAAGCAAAATGACAATGATACATAAATTAACAAAGGACTACTAGCAGTCACTGACATACCAGCTCCAGACCTCAATTAAACTGATTGAAAGATTATGTCTTCATCATATGAAAATCAAGCACAATTCCTCCCGTTAGGGGTTTATTATCATACCATCATAAAATATATGAGAAGAACATAACTCGTATCATGCCAACAACTGGTTTTAGAATAAATGTGTTTATTTGCGATGCAAAGACCTTATGAGTGAATCAATATTAATACCAAAATATGCCATCTTTAATGACCTGACAACAGTATCGTAACTATATCCCTTCTGAATAAGTCTGTTTAAAGGTTTGGTTAGAGGGGAATGTCGACATTTTTGTGCTTTGAATAGAATATTACCATAAAAGATTGGATGTAAAATACCTGAACGTATAAGATGTCTGCATGTTGATTTATATTTACGAATGACGATGATAAAATTTAGTAAATGTTTTGACTAGTTTGTTATATCGAAAACCCTGGTGTAATAATTTTTCAGTAATACAGAGGTTTCTTTCGTTAAAATCAAATACGTTGTTACATACACGAGCGAATCGAACAAGTTGAGATATATAAACACCATAAGATGGTGACAAGGGAAAGTCACCATCTAAAAATGGATAATTAACAATAGGAAATGAAAAATCATCTCTTTTATCATAAATTTTGGTATTAAGCTTCTCGTTAAAGATATAGATATCAAGATCCAGGAAAGAGCAGTGTTCATTGTTAGTATTACCTTTAATTAAAGTCAATTCAGCAGGATAAATCTCTTTAGTGTACATACTGAAGTCGTCATTATTGTGAGCCAATATATCATCCAAATATTTAAAAGCGTTATTAAATTTTTTGTATCAGATGTTGTTTCGATGGGTCTTTGCTAATTTTACTCATAAATTATAACTCATAACAATACGGAAACAGGTCCGCAATAAGTGGTGTACAGATTGTCCCCATTGGAATTCCGATGTATGATTTAACAAATGGTGCCCACCAAGGGGACAACAAGCCGTGATGGCGCGAGGGTTTAAAGGCCTGTCAATGTCGTTAAACACCATTCGTCGTATTAGCATTATAACCCTTCATATTGATTGCTGTGTCAATTTTAAATAGTTTTCAAATTAACGTTTTGTTGCAAAATAAATATTGGAGGTCATCATAAACCAAAGCCAAATAACCCGTTTTTGAATGGCTTTACAAATCGATCGAATTTTGGTTTGTGGTGGAATACTTACTCCTTTTAAATTCTTAGATCGGTTGATTGGTTTATTTGTGTTTAACGCCACTTTCAGCACCATTGCGCTATTTCGTGACGGTCAGTTTTTATTGGTGGAGGCACGTGGAGTGCCCGGGGAGAACCTACGAACTGACAATCCTAGTCACCAGCCTGATTCGAACTCACGACCCCAGTGTTGACCTCAGTGTTGACAGGCTAGTGATACAGTAGTTCAACTACTTAGACCACTCGGCCACCGAGGCCCCCAAATTCTAAGATATCTTGTGTACAACATTTATTGAAATAGATCATCATTGCAATTTTGAACGTCTTAAATATGTTAGATGTTGATAGATATGACATATTGTTGTCAAAACTTCAAAATAGACATATAAAAATTGTGATACCGTAGATTAAGTAAGGAATGATCCTGCTTGTGAAATTGTGAAATAAATTGATGAAGTTTAATGTAAAATATCTAAAAAATACCAATAGCATAATCTTACAGTCAGAAAAGTTGTCTTGTCAATGATGAATAGGTTCATTACAGAAATTCCAACGGGGTCAGTCAGCTGTTTCAGAAATGTACTGTACTGTAATAAAATAAAGCATTATAAAATAAATGGTCTGATTATTTCTGTATTTGGTCTTATTTTTCTTTTCTTTTTTTTTGTGTTTTTTTTTGTTTGTTTGTGTAAATACTATTTAATTATGTTTAATGTGTTCTTACTATATTACAATAACAGATGTGTACATATACTTCTTACTCTTATCCATACTATATTACAATAACAGATGTGTACATATACTTCTTACTCTTATCCATACTATATTACAATAACAGATGTGTACATATACTGCTTGCTCTTATCCATACTATATTACAATAACAGATGTGTACATATACTGCCTTCTTTTCTTATTTTCAACGCCCCAAATGACCTGTGCGACAGAATACTTTACATAACGATACCATAGCAACATACGTTAAATAAGAGACAACAGTATCAACATGTTTCAAATACTAGTATTTGAACTTTTTTCACGTTGACAAATCACGAGTCCAGTTTTATTCATACATCGACGTGCAAGACCTTACGGTATAGTCACTAGGGAAGGTAAAACATCCGATAGTAGTAGGTACATAAATAATAAGAATTAAAAGAGATTCTGGGTATATTTATGTGAGACTGCAATTCAACGACAATAAAATCCAAAAGACATCTAGATGTCAACATACAGTCTTCAATAATACACAAGTGTTGTCTTCAATAATACACAAGTGTTGTCTTCAATAATACACAAGAAAACAAACCACTGCAGGAAACATATTGCAAGATTTACTAAATAACGGGTATAATTTACCTGAAGTGAATATTCAGTTGACACGTTTCTTAGAGGTAGAACATACAAGATATGCTTTGGTTTGTGTGCCTACAAAAGGAAAAGATAGAAAGCACTATAAATTGCTGTACTGTTTCTTTTGGATTTGTGTTTTGGTGTTCGATTTGTTTGTCAATAGTTTCACATATTATTTATATTCTTTCATGATATTTGTCTTTTAATTTTTAGATCTTAATGGCGAGTTTTTGAATAGGCTTATAAATTCCCCCTTTTATGGCAGAATAATAAAATTGTAAAACATTACTGTTCTGAAAAAAAATGTTTACTAAAAGACCCTGCATAGCCACCCAGTATAAAAATAAGGAGATGTGGTATAATTGCCAATGAGAAAGCTAACCGCTTATATTCAATTTAAGTGGATGCAAGCAATCATAGGCAACCCGCGTACGACCTTAAACAATGAGAAAAATCCATATACCGTATACAGTCGGCTATAAGAGGCCCCGACATAAAAAGTGAAACAATACAATTGAGAATAATAACGACCTAATTTATAACAAAACAATTTAAGAAAAACAAATATGACAGACACGAACCAACGAGGCACAAAAATAACTAACATTAAAACAATAGACACAAAGCACCGAAATAAGAGTTCTGGCAGCTAATGAAAGCTAGTTCAAAGCCAATTACAACTAATAAATAAATGATATTCTCAAAAATTAAGTATCAACCATTAAACATCCAACGGATTGATTGTAAAGACGTCATAAATAGTCTGAGAAACTTATGATCTTGTGCAATGCCAAGAAGAAGAAGAAGAAGAAGAAGAAGAAGAAGATATTTTATTTCCAATTATGGGCCCCAAAGGGCATAAACATTACAACATCAATAATTTTCATAATACAATACAAACAATGACATATAAGTAAACAGTATCAACAGGATGAACAATCGGGAACGAAAAGTCGTCTCTTTTGTTGTAATTTTTTGTATAGAGTTTCCCGTGTGAAACTGAAATATCTTAATATAGAAAAGGACAATTCTTTCTGTCTGTATAAGATTTATTTCAAGTATTTTCCTTTGTGTAACTTTCAGCAGTAAAATACGAAAATTCTTAATTATTCAAGTCAAAAATATCTTTACTGAGTTCTGCCATTATCTGTGATTCATAACAATAAGTCTGCTATTAGATTGGTGCAGTTGGTGCCCTTGTGAAAACCTACAACCTGTCGATAAACTTTATTGTCGAAACGTACATAGATGTTGTCAAGAAGAAAATTTAAAACTTTAATCATCTCATCACAGTTCCAGTAAGTATTTTTAGCATATTTCCCTTTTTTTATCACAGAAGAAGGCTTTATATGAGTTGAAGCAAATAAATCTGCAACCAGATTTTCCAAAGGACCATTGAATTAAATAAGAGAACTTATGTTTGATAAGATTAGTAGTGTAGTGTACAAAGATTAGTAGCGGGTTTTTGTGTAGTTTAAGGAAGCTAATACACAGCAGGGGCTTTCAAATTTTGTAAAGGATGCATTTAGCTGAGCTGCGGTAGTGACATGGTTATTTACTTTTTGACTCTCTGCGAAGCGCACGGCCTTGAATGTAGTTGAATGTATAATTCCATTCTTAAGGACATCCGTGTAATATTTACGCCATACTGCCACCACATTGTTGCCTGCCTTGCCGGCCGGTACGAACATACACCGCTTTGCGAGTATACTTGGATTTTGTTTTTAATCCTAGAAATGGGCGTATTATTTACTCTTTTATTTATTTATTTCTAAATTATTTTTCGAAAAGTACCGAGTCCTGTCATTTGCAACTGATTTTACAGTTTATTCTTTTGTTGTGTAGTTATACTAATGTTCAAGGTTACGGACTAATGTTCAAGGTTACGGGAGGGTTGAGAGCTCACTAACATGTTTAACCCCGCCACGTTCTGTATAGATGTACCTGTCCCAAGTCAGGAGACTGACATTCAGTTGTTATCGTTGGTTGATATAGACTAGAGAATGGAAACGGGTAATGTGTCAAAGAGACAACAACCTGACCAATTAGACGAAAACAGTCAAAGGCCACCAATGGGTCTTCAACGCAACGAGAAGAAATTCCCGCCCCGGAGGCGGGCTTCAGCTGCCCCCCAAACAAAATGTATATTAGTTCAGCGAAATGGACGCCACACTAAACTCCGAAACATACAAATGAACCAAATGATGTCTGTCCAAATTTGTGTTTGGTTTGTTGTATTGTCATAAATCTGGCCGTTGTTTTTTTCCGTTTGAACTGCTTCACAGGTTTGTCATGTCGGGGCCTTTTATAGCGGACTATACGGTATGGTTTTTGTTCATTGTTGAAAACCGTACGGGGACCTATAGTTGCTAAAGTCCGCTTCATTTGGACTGTTGGATAAATGCCTTATTGAAATTCATATAACATCACCCAATCTTGATTAAAATTCAGATATCGGAACTCGCGTGTCAGTCGAAGCTTATATCAGAGATCTTTATTTTAATAACATATATTGCACATCTCCTTATTTTATTTTGTTTCTATTTTTAGCTATTTCGTTGTCAAACACATCAATAAACAATTCATTTTGAATAAGATAGACCACATAGCTATATTTCTATCTTACCAGATTGCTGACAATAGTACAGCTAATAGCTATAGCCAATAACATTACTGTTACAGCAACCATCCAAAATATATGAGCAAGGAAAACCAAAGTGTTATGGCGTGTATCTGGAAACCAAATCAGACTGTATAAGAGCAGTAATATATGAGCAATTGATGTAACCCACGTGCTGCCATTGTACAATTTAAACATATCATTAGCTTTCTCGATCAAATCACAAAGAGAAGTATACTGTTGTCGTAGGTCTTCTAAATCGTTATTTTTGTTGTTGATTCTGTTCTGAAGATGCTCAATGTAAATTCGCAACTCTTTCCCTAACAGCAGTGTAATGAGAATTTCTAAACCACAAAGTCCAAGCCAGGAACCTGACAAGAAAACCTTCACAAGAAGATACACTCCTTTAAGGAAATCTGCAAGGGAATCCGCTCTTGTATATGGGGCAATTACATTGTCAAAAAAATCAACTCGATAACTTACATAGCCGAAAAATACGATATTTCCTCCAATTAGAGCACACGTAATGATAACGGCCAAGTTAGATATTCTTCTCAAAGATTTTCTGTCTTTATAGGAGGTCAATGTACATTTTCTCCAGTTCTTAAGAAAAGTAAACATATCACTTTTGTTATTAGATAATCTGTTTGAAACAAACGTATTAATCATACACTGCACGAAGAATAATGATATTAATATTTTTGGAATCCCTTTCTCGAAATCATCAACATCCATGTATGTAGAAAGATGTCTGAAGAAATTTGCAAAGCTGAAAAAAATGGTGAACGAGCAAACATATTTGAGTATCCGATTAGTGTTCGGGTGTGATATTTGTTGATCCTCACTTAAGGCAATAGGATTAAATATTCCAAAAATAGCTAAAAACCAAAAAAATGAATTCAATACCCCATTTATCTGAATTTCTTTGTCTGGCTCACATTCTGATAATTCTTTTTCATGAAGACAAGCTGGCTCTACGGTTATACACCGTCTTTTCATGTCGGTCATTCTCATATTCAGAATCCTTATGACTAACTTCGATTTATAACGGATCAAAAATGTTCCATTTGATTTACAAAATTATAAACACCCATGTCGCATCTACAGGCGAGATGCAATTTAACGAAAATTGATTATTTTCTCCAATTTAATTTTTTAAAGTGTTCTTCAAAATCTAGTCTGTTGAAAATCTACGATGTCATGCTATCGATTACCATACACAGATTTGAATGCTGCAGTAAGTGGTTCGATGGCACCGGAAACGATAGGCGTGGCTATCCATAAGGGATTTCTTTATGCATATGATACAGATATAGGTGAGAGTTTTCGGAAACGGATGTAATTTAACAGCGATTAGTTTTACTGAATGCTCAACGAACCTAACTATTCGTTAACTTTTTCTTTGATCAAATAATGTACATGTATGCGATAAAAGTTTACTTCGCGATTCTACTTCGTTCGTCGCTTTTTCATAGCAATACACTTACAAAAAGAAACATTCAATTCTTATAGTAACATTTTAAAACTTATAAAATCACGAAATTGCGATGTAATTCAAGCTTTACGTTCGATTTGTTCCTTCGCATCGTTTTACCAATCATACTGTTTGTATTGAAGTCATTAGAGTTCAATTTCTCTTTTCTATTATCATTTTATAAAACATCAATCGGCGTTTCTAAGGATACCAACTGTGCTCCTCTTCTTGCCAACTTGTTCCTTTATCAAAACGAGGAAGACCTCATACAGGTTCTTCTCGGGAAGAATAAATAGAAGCTAGCATCATTTTCAAATTCAAAGTTTCATTATGGTTACTATATTGAACACATCTATCCCATACGGAACTTGAATTAAAAAACACATCTGCTACAGTCAAATCTGCATCATTTCTTGACACATTGAAACTGACAATATATGAAAATTAATCTTTACGACAAAGGGACATTTCAGCTTTGCAATTGTGAACTTTCCGTTTCTATGTAGCAACATTCCAGCAGCGCTTGCTATCGTGATTTCCTTGACAGAGGGCTGCTGCTGACAAGAAAACGATTGAACCAAGGGTTCCAAGTGGTGATGTTGGAGCAATCTCTTCGAAAGTTTTACAAGGTTGGTTGACTGTTGTTGGATATCTGTGTTACAGATGACAACGGACAAGCTTGTGACATTAGATTTTGAACTTACCATGAGCAAAACGAAGGGTGCTACCACTGGAGCACATGAAACTGAACAAAGCTGTGTAGCTCAGTCTACTTTTTATGGAGTTTTTTAAACGTGTTTGACATTTCATCAACTTGTCTTGGCCATGGTTTTTCGTTTTTCAGTTTTATCTAGACTTACACAAGTTTTGAATCTTGCATCTTTCAACGCTTTTTTAAATTCTAATTAGCGATTCATGAACTCAACTCAGGTTTTTGTGAAACACATTTCTTTCAATGGCTACGCAGTCTTGGTATTTTTGCATTGACTTACAGCATTGCATTCTTTTAATGTTGCATTGGTTTTTGCTATTGTTTTTTCTTCTATAATAGTAGGGACCTCGACTACTGTATTACTATCCTTTCAACACCGAGGTTGTGAGTTCGAGTCATGCAAGTGGCAAGTGCATTCGACTCCAATCTTAATTGACTAAGATTGTCAGTGGTTCTTTCCTGCTTCCTCCGCCGACAAAAACTTGCCACCACGAAATAGCCAACAGTGCTAAAAGTGCTTTACACACCAATCAATCATCCATATTAGTAAAGTTTCTAATGGGATCTAAAGACTTCATCTTGATGCTTGTTCATCATATATTTTTTGGTTTGAAACCATACATCAGTTGTTTTCCATTCGTTTGATGTGTTTGAGCTTTTGATTTTGCCATTTGATAAGGGACTTTCCGTTTTGAATTTTCCTAAGTTTCCTTGGAGTCCGGTATTTTTGCTATTTTACTTTTCACAAAAACCACAAGAGTAAAGGTCCTTCAAACGTTCCAATTCCAGTATTTAGAAGATTTTTGTCTCGCATTTGAATAGACAGGATATATTTCAATAATTTTATGAGTCTACAAATATCACTTTCTTTCTCCTTTTCTGTCAAAATATATTGAGGGGCTGTTGCTTTATTACTTACAATTTCTAAACACTTGGGTACATGGCTAAGCAGAAGGTATTTTAATTTACCTGTAAAACTGATACATTTTCAAGAAGGGGGAAAGGTATTTCATAACAAGTAATAAAACATCAGTATTTTAAAATCTTTAACAATTTTATTTGGTTATTATCATAAAACAATATACTGCATTGCATTACAGGTCAAAGCTACTCTATTGCCTTTTGATCATAGCAAAATATGACAAATTAAAAACAATAAGGATTAACATCATCTCGACAGCTTTCAACATAGCACCATACAAATCAAAACTTTCATGCAATAAAAACATCATACCATTCAGATTCATAGAAAAATCACAGACTTAAAAAAAAATGGCATAAAAGTCAAGAAAAAACTTATTTGATTCAAACTAAATTCTTCAACAGATTTGTTCACTTCAAATCAAAGCTACATTGTAACAAATGTACAAGTTTCAAATTTCTACAGAAAGTTTTTCCTCTGCCAAAATGTTCCAACCAGTCATACTCATCTTCAGTATGTGTGTTACAAAGGTGTTAAAGGAAAATGGCATGGATTATTCTTTCATGCACATCAGAATTTTGTCACTACTGGACCCCTGCCAAAGCCACAAACAAAACAGCCATGATGGTGTATCTGTGTTAGGACAATCATAACATTACATATAAGCTTGGCAAGTGTCAACACTTTTGAACATTATACATAATGGCCTACTTACAGACTGATTTATCAAACTATATAAAAAAAAACATTTGCATATGCTACATCATATTAAGATGTAGAGATTTATAACATCCTTCATCATCTTCAATCCTTGCTACAAAAATAACAATACACTAGTCAAAACGGAAACTATAATACTTGTTTTTTCAATGTTATGTCTACTTTGACGACAAATAAAGATTCTGAGTGCATATCTTTTTTATAAATGTACTATGATATAATTTTTAGCAAAAAAAAATGCTTAACAGCTCATCAAAACTAAATGGTCAGACTGTTTATATGATATTTTGTAATGTTATCATAACAGTCATTACCGACTTATCATAAAAACTTAAAACTTGTTTGTATTTTATTTTGTAATGTTATTATAACAGTCATTACTGACTTATCATAAAAACTTAAAACTTGTTTGTTTTTAAACTAACAGGAATTAAAATAAAATTTCAATGTATAATAAAAGGATGGCTTCTGTTTATCAACAGAATGCATAGGTTACCTAACTATCACATCAATTAGTACTTTTCTTTGTTAATTTTACTACCAAGAACTATTTAATACCTAAAAGTGGGTTATTTCAATTGGGTGCTTATTATGCATTTCCAGTGGTTAAATGGAAATTAGGAAAAAATTTAAAAAGCCAGACTGACCTTTTCATGTTCACATGTAAAACAAGGACAATTTGCTCTGAAAAAAAGCATTAACCAGTTCCAATAATTACAGTATTTAAGAACAAAATGCTAAAATACATGTATCATTTATTTTTGGCTTATTTCTATATTATCAAAACTTAAAAACCTTTGAAGAAGTGAATTTTATACTCTGTTATTCAATATTCTTTTCTCTCACTTTATTGAAAGGGTCAATTCAGATCTTGCATTTCCAACCAACAAGCCATGTTATAGTTTCTGAAGGCAAATTAAATTTACTACTGTTAAAACCTAAAATTTTTGACATTATAAACATTTTTTTCAAAAAGATACTTTTTTCTTTGAAGAAGAATTTCCCTTTGGCTGAATCTTATTTAGAATTTACATATTCACCAAGAATTTAAACATATAATGCATTCAGTCTATGTATGACATTCTATGCCTATTCAAATCTCTTTCACTGTACAGGGACTAGCAAATCTAAGGTTGAACTGTATTTTCTGTTTAATTCAGATTACTTTAAATGATTTCAAGTTGGAATTATAAGTTTGTCAAATCAACGACTTTGTACATTGATAAACATAGCAACATGTAGAACAATACTGAGACTTTCAAGACTATATATAAATCTGAACACTCTTGCAGGTGCAAGTCTTGATATTGAAATTAACGACATACAAGACACATACATGTACAAAATAGCTTTTGAAGTTGAAATGTAACATTGAATGACTTGCGTAAAAGAAGAACCAGCATAAAATTATCTGCCAATGAATGTACTTCTTTACATAGTCTCTGGTTTTAAATTGCTAACAACAAACAAAGGGCTATAAGGAACCGAAGTCTCTAATCTCCCATACAAGCCTAATACTGAATAATCTTTGAAATAATTCTGAACCAGCATGGTTATTGGTAACTAACAAATGATTTTTTCCCTCTCATTCCGTTCATAAAAATTAAGCCCAGTCTTCCTCATGCCTGCCTTATTTTAGTTGGGTTGAGATATTAACCAAATACAAAGTCCAGATTTGTACAGGAAACCCAAAAAATAATTCTGATAAAACAAAATTAAATAAGAGGTCACTATGGCAATTTGATTAAGTTATATTTAATGCTAATTAGGGATTTAGGTGCTGTAGACATGTGTTCTGTAGTGTGTGGATATGGACTTGTCAAAGTTAACCCAAAGAATCATTCAGATATAGAAATGATATAGGTGCACAAGTATTTGTGAGTAAGATTTGGTGAAACTTTCCAAAAATCCATCAAGGCGTTCAGGAGCAGTCTGGATACAAAAGTAAGATGGAAGGGTAAAGGGGCAGAAATTGTCAGATAAGTATACACCATTAACAGGGAAGGTTAGATAATTGATCGTGTGACTGAAGCTTGCCGTCCAGTGGCAAACATTACATACATACTGTAAATTCAGAAATACTTGTGAAAATGAGTACAGGATCAGTCTCACAAAAATAAAAACTTTATCTAAAATTTTGATAGGACAATTTGTATGCAGAATTCCCTCGTAATAATAAATCTTGTGTTAATTGTTCAACAATCGAAAAAATAAATGCATTCAAACAGGATAAGGTCCAGTAAGGGCCAATTTCGGCCTAAAATTCTAAGCACATCTGATGAAAAGTTTTTGACATTTTTTAAACACTCAAGTGTGAACTTCAGTTGATTCAATTAGTTTATGTTCAAGATTTGAACAGATTTGCTCATTAAAGACGCTCAAATTCAAGCTTAAATATGAAAAATCTATCAAATATGCCATAAAACTCCAATTTTCAGATGATTTTCGTCTAAAACGGAAGTGGCCGCATTTGTGTTGTCTCAACATTCATATATGTTATGTATTATCATTAAATACAACATATATTTAAATATTAAGACTGAACACAAGTGCGGCCACTTCCATTTTAGACAAAAACCGTCTTAAAATTAGCACAGATGCTGAAATTGTGAAGATTTCAGTATTTGTGTATGAAATAATGATGCTAATACCTGATGCATGTCCATTGTCAAAAACAGCCAATATTTATGTAACAAAAGTATTCTACTTTCCAATAAATAACTAAAAGTGACATTTTTAACTACATTGTAAAAACCCTATATTTTGGGGCCAAAAACAAGTCTTACCGGACCTACTCCTTTTAAAATTTACAGTGTTCAGGACAGCTTCTATTCATGTTGCCAGTCCTGTATGTTCATCATTAGTTTGGAATATTACAACTATATTGTTTTCATTACTAAATTAAGTAGATATTAAATATTCATAAACTGACACCGGATTACTGTTAGGTAAAGTAAGTAAAAAATTGATTGAACTTGCATACAGTTAATTCAAAATAATTGCAATGTTTTATCATGAAGAAGACATCAGAATAAACATTATAAGAATCTTTCTTGAAAATTCATTCTTATGAAACGAAATTTTATTTGCCAATAGTCTAAATTAAGCACTTACTCGTAAATGCATCTAAGGGAAGAAAAATGTGCAGTTAATGAAGCATAACTGGGTGTTAGAACATTACTACTTGAAACTAAGATGAATGGATGATATTTAACAGTAACCCAAATATCAATGGTCTATCACAGGAAATTGTTTACCGGTATAAAAATTTTAACAATTAAATCAAAAATAAAAGTTGTAATAAAAAATCTAAAGTTCTTGAAGCAGGAAGTAAAAGTACGAAGGGTCATATAACTCAGATGCATGGATACTTTGACAGTATACAACATGTACAAGAACCAGTACTATTTTAATAAACCTAATTAGAAAGAGTTTATCAGAGATTCACCAAACAAATCTATTGAGAATAACAAGGAAATGTGTGTCAATCAAAACATAATATCATGTAGTGAACTCTTCTGTTTATATGATCAAACAAATCCACAGTTTACACTGGTATCCTGTTCATAACATTATATATCAAGACAAAAATGCATTTTACGAAGTACATGTTTCTTACAAGATACTCAGATTTTTGTTTATAATACTGGGGTAAACTGATAAAACTATTTCACTTTAATACTGACTTCCAATGTGACTGCTTGATAATGTTGATAAAACCAACAAGTTGATTCAAATAAATTTCTTACATCACTCTTGGACATGATTTCAGAGAAAAACTGAATAGGCTTAGACTGCCTTCAACAAAATATCTTATTTTGTAACAAAAATTTAAGAAAGTGAAGCATTCTATACCCTATAATGTCCATAAAATACATCAACAATTTGTAAAGTATAACAGTGTACCACACCTGATTCAAACATCAATAGGAACAATAACAGGTAAATCAACACATTCATTTCTGATTTTTTATCAGTTAAAACCAGTACATGAAGCCTTGCCTTTCTTCTCAACTAAAATTAGCAGATAATCATCAAAATTTGTTCTGTGAATCTAACTCTCTTATTCTACTGATTTACATATATACAGTTATTTACAAAAATAAAGCACTAAAAACATTTAGGGGAAAAGCCCCTAATCAACAAATCAACCTTTTGGCATAGTATACACTGTCATAGCACAACCTGTCATAGTTAATGCCAACCAAAAAAAAAATAGTTGTGTTTCCTGCTTCCCTATCTACCCTAAATCTTAACACATGTTATGGACATTTTTGGCTTAGTATTGATAAAGTCCAGAACATTTCCTTATATTTATAGAATCTATGTTAAATGTTTTCAAAATACATATTAAATCATTTTTTCTTTCTTCTGGGACCTGGTAAACATTCATATATTTTCTTTTTTGCCAGAGATGTATTTCTTAGGGTTAAAAAATATTATCAAAAATAGTTCATGTGTAGTTGGAAAACAAATCAGCTTTCACTTATTTGTTATTTCTACAAAAAGAAGACAACAAAACTGAATACTAACTTAACATTTGACACTTTTCATTTAGATCTAAATATATTTAGCAACAAAATCAATTTACTCAAAATATTTGTGATGTTCTGCACAACTTTAACTAAAAGTACAACATTACTATTAAAAGTACTGTATTTTTATCTTATTTTTTTTTTACATGTTTTCATAATGACTGAAATTTCTTAAAGGATGTACAGTTTTCAAGCTAAGACTTGCACTTCTATGAGTAAAGTACTATGAATTTCAAAAGATGGTTTAGTTTGAAATTAAAACTAGTTTAAAATGAATGAATGACAGTTGGTCTGCATCCTTACTTAGTTTTGAAGTTAATTAAATGAACCACAGTGACTTTAGTTCTATTAAGGTAATATATAGGTAAAAGCGAAATACTTTTTTTTGTTTCCAGGGACATGGGAAATGACAAACTTTAAAAAAAATGTTTGAAAGAGGTGGGATGATTTATAATAACATGTGGTCAGTACAATTGTAAGCATGGAAGGGTATAAATGTGGTTTGCAAACCTCTTTATCATGTTTATAGATTTCATTCATTACATCTTTCTGAGAGCAATTAAACTTATTCTGACACTCAAAATTTATACTTTCATACCATATCATTTGTATAAAGAAAGAAAAATCACAACTGAATGAATAAAATACATGTGTACATTTCATTTCTGTGAAAAAGTGGAGACTTTTGTGTATATATATGTATGTGTGTATCTGTGAACACCTTAAACATGATGAGGTAGGGCCTTTACCATAGATGAACTGTTTTTTGAGATACAAATGTAAACTAAAAATTACACCATACGTATAAGTACTACTTATACATTTACATTTAAACATTAAAATACAATGAAATGGAGACTATAAGCATATGATTACAAATGCACCAAATTCTGTAGGACTATATCAACTGTACTTCACTATAAACACTTATCTGGTTTCTAACCTTCTAAGTTTAGCAGGACTATCATTACATAATGATGATGATGATGGAGATCTGATTCTCTTTGACCTGCGCAAGACATCAATCTCAGGCTGAGATGCAGATGACACAATTTTCTGGGGTTTATTTGTCAAAGCAAGGTCAACTTTTTGTGTTTTATTAACTGTATCATTCTGATTGCAGTGATTGTTTATACGCTCCCCAAGAGCTGTCGTTTGTATCTTCCTTTGCATGTACACTTCAAAGTCTGGATATGATTTTCTTGGTGAAGAAATTCGTAACTTGTATGGTGAAGATCTTTTAATGGTCAAATTATTCTCCAAGTCTGTAGACTGTCCTTCACTACTTGTATCTGAAAATCTTGAACTTTGAGATTTCTTCTGTGTTGAAGGAGGTGGTGAAGGCAAAGAGTTCAGAATTAAATCATTTTCATTCTTACTTGAATCGACACTATTACACATACCACATGGAACTGTTGTTAGATTAGATATATCTTTAGTGTTAAATATTTCCCTGAGACATTGACCAGCTGCTGGTGGACTGTTTTCCAACTTGACACCACAAGACTGGTTACTGGGAACATTTGGAGGAGAGGAGACAGAGAGCGGGGAACACATACATCTTTTCTTTCTTCTACATTCTGAACAGCACGCAGAGTTATAAGATTCATCATCAGAAGACATGGACAGGGATAGAATAGAAATATTATCCTCACCATTTCTCTTGACTGTAAAATCATCAACAGACCTTGTTGGACTTACCCTATCACTAAGAAAATTTGACAATTGTTGCTCAACAACAACCTGTGCTAGAGCTGTCTCACTTTTTAGCCATGAAATTTGACTCTGATCACTCTTACTTTTCATACTTTTAAATTGTTTATATTTACTGGAACTCCACCTAGGTTTGGGTTTTTCTTCCTTCTTGCCAAATACTGGTTTAGTGCTTTTCACTCTTTTCACAGATAGAAAAGGAGTCAGTTCATTTATTTCTGACAACAAACACCGATATAATGTAAGTTTCTGCTTAGATATTTCAGCACTTTCATCTTCTGATACAACATTTGTAAGTGAAAGTGGATCCATTGAATTAAGTCTCTTCAGCGACCTTTTCTTTAAACCTAATAGTTTATCACACTCTTTTGAATGCAGTATAGGAATCTTTGGAAACAAATCATTATTGTTCTCATCAAAGAAGATCTCATCTGTTATACTTTTAACATCCCGTTTGGGAAGCCATTTTTTAAGATCTGCTTTAGTCAATCTTTTAAGAGCCACGTTGCATGTCGGAGGCTTGTATTCTGTTTTCTTGTGCTTTATCTTTTTGATAGGAACTTTGTTTGATGCTTTCTTTCTTTGCTTTCTTGAAAATTTAAACTGATGTGAATACAGCACATCAAAACTTTTTCTTGGTCGATAAAAAATTGGATATTGGTTTGACCTATGCCTTAATTTATCATAATATTCATTTTTATCTGGTGTTCGGCAGAAGGATTCGGAATCTTTAACAATAACCAAATTTGTTTCATCCTTCATATATTTAACAATGCGCTGACCAAGCAGAGAGGATACATCTATGTTCATTAACGATTTGTTAACATGAGATGGCCTCTCTTCATCATTGCTATCAGAACTTTTCACACTTTCCTTGTCATTGATATCTCCATCATTATTTGAATAACTCAAACGTTTTCTTGATGCTGAGAGTCCATCATCTTTGCTCAGCTGAGACATAAGGGATTTAGGCGTTCTTGGTGTAGGTGGAGATATGGGAGTTTCTGGTTCCTCAAAATCAAGATTACAGTCAATGTCCATACTACTACAACGATTTCGAGCTATTATTTTGGCAGCTTTTTGTTTCTGCACCATTCCTATGGCTTGGACAAATCTGTCTTTTGAAATTCTAGCAAAGCTTTCACTCAAGTGCATTTTGGCTGGGCTTATGGGAGGTGGAAGATTGCCCTCTTTAGGGCTCAAGTCTCTTGGTGGAGAGGGCACTACAAGTAACTGTGGTGGTCTTTCTTCACATATCATCTGGTGTGCTCTCATCTCAGATTTATTGCAAAATTCCTTTTCACAGAAAAAGCAGATAAAAATCTCAGAATATCTTCTCCTTGTTTCCTTTACCACTTTCTTCTCTGAAAATAAAAATCAATGAAAAATTATCAACTGCAAGAAGCATGGTTATTATGACCCATGCAAACTTTATACCAATTTAATATTAAAATAACAAAATAGAGAAAAGGGAGTTAACCTTTTAACCAATTAAACAACTTTTGATTATATATATATACTCTGATGATACTCTGTATGTAATGAAATCTAGACAATGTAAAATATAACACCATGTGTGCTTTTTTTGGAACAAGTAGGTATGTTGATTGATTGAGCATTTACATCAGGGTTTTTTCTGGGTATTTTGGGAAAAAGGACCCTGGCCAGTTTTCACATAAATTGGGAAAACAACAAATATACCAGATGTGAGTTTTAGTGTGTTTCGATAATTACACATTATCTTTTTTTGTGAAAATAAAGTAAGAAACTACATGATTGCTATTTATAATTTTATTTTCAGTTCTTTTTGTTTTTAAACTTAACAACAAGGCACTCCAAGTTTATTTTAGTATCAAAATATTGTAGTTCTTAAAGCACACATGTGATAAAAATTTACCCCTTTTTTATCTTAAAAGACATTAACAGTTAATATAATAAATAATTCAGGAATAGAAATAAGATGTATTTTTTACTGGCCAAGCAGGTTAACACTTTTAAATTCACTTGCTCTTCCAGATTTTTACTGGCCCTTTAAAATTGAGATGAAATTACCTCTTGGATCTGTATCTATATGTTTACATTATAAAAACATCTAATATCAACATTTTTTAGTGATAAAGAAAAGTAATGTCACATTTTATTGGATTTGGACAAATACAAATACATATATTTCATTGGCACAAACTCATTAACAATAAACGGTTACGACCTATTGCATATATTTGACATGAAAATTTGTAAACTAAAAATAATTTGGAGTTTCTGTATAAAATATTTCCTGTTTCTTCTTTCTTTTTCATATATCTTTTGTTTTCAATTCTAGTGTTTATATTTCATAGCTGTATTTTGTCACCTGCCTGGACTTTTTAAAATTTATTTATTTATTGTATTTGATCGGCAAACCCGGAATTAGCCTTATCTGCTCCCGGAATCTGATCCTGTATTGTAATTGTCTACATTTCCGATTTATGGCGGCCATTGTTTGTCGATGTTGTTTTTGTCAGTCAAATATGTTTTTACTCGGATTTACACATTACTTGTTGGCGATTTTTGGCATAAAGCTAGCGGTTGAACAAAATGAACATGGCTGTCATGAATAATAAAGATGAAAATGAATATTGAGATCGTTTGGGAATTTTGCTCCCAAAATTGGGGAAAATGTAAGGTTTTTGCCATTGAGAATGGGTCCGAATACTGGACCCTGTAGAATGCTAGAAAAATCCATGTACATGAATGTGGTCCATTTAGGTTCTTAGTGGCCAAATTACTGTAGACAGAGACAGAATGACTAAAACTGGATCCACTGTCCAATATCTATCTTCAAGAGTACCAATTGTCTCGAATTTCTGTATATCGTGGATACAAATAAGCCTTTATTGCAGAATACATGTGGTTGATAAGAATGTACCTACCCGAAACAATTGTACTTTGTTGTAAACATTCCAACAAGGATGGTGATATTGTAACCTGTAAAACAGAAATATTTATTATTAATTTTATATTTTAACATTTATGAACTCATGTGAATGAACTGCAATAAAAATCCACGAAGTTTAAGGGTCTGGGTTAAAATCTGTTCCCAAGAAGAGTTGATGACACAAAATTGCTAGTCTTTTGAAAATGTTGCTGTTGAAAATAAAACAGATTTCAAAAGACAATGACAAAGATCACATACTTCTAATTCTGCAAATAATTAATTATAGATTGCAATTAAATAAACCGGAATGAATTTTCACTTGGAGAAACTATGTCTAGTGTGTCAGGTGAACGATCCCCTGAAATGTACCACTAACCTGACAGATAATAAACAATGACATGCACATGTAAAAGTGTATGTATACAAATATACAGTGTAGAAAAATATCAAATTTATATGACTAGCTTTAGAAACCATAGAAAAGCGAGGCTCACAGTGCTTTTCTCCGGTTTTGCAGCCAGTACAATTAATTATATATTTTCCTACACTGTACAAATATTGTTTTTATCCTGAAATTCAACATTTAGCTTAAACATATAGTTTTTCCCCATCAGACTCATTGAATTTGTTTCTTAATGATGAGGACCACAAATAAAAGTGAGACCTAAACAGTAATTTGAATATAACAAGTCGCTCAAAACAGAAACAGGATAACAGGAGACTATAGACATATACTTAAGGTTTATCGCTTTATGTTATTTGTCAAACTGTATTTGTATTGTAGAAAGGTCAATTGCAGGATAAATTGCAATAAATGTGCCAAAATTGTCATTTAAGGGCATTAACTCCTATAAGGCATCAACTGACAGTTTTAGGAAAATGGACATTAGGTAGAACATTTCTAACAATTCTGGCCAAGTTAGATTTTGTCTATAGGGGTTTTCAAGATAATAAACAAATCTTGCATTTTACCCCTATATTCTATTTTGAGCCATGTCAGTTGATAGGCAGGATCATGGAAAATATCTTTTAAACAAGATGCCCAATGATGGCAGTTTCAGAGGAGAAAACTTTTGTAAAATTTAATAGTGGATGGGCGCCAAGTGATGAGAATAGCTCACTTGATCCTTGGGGTCTGGTGAGCTAATCATGACAGAATATTTTTCAGAACTCTGCTATTTTGTAACCATAATACTAACTGGGAAAGTAGAATTGTAACTAGTCTTTATCTTGTCTTTAGAGCTTTCTTGTAGCAACTTCTCCTGGCCAAGATGTCTGTAACAACATCTAACCACATTCCTTAGGGTATCTGCCCATGAAGCCTGAAAAAATAGATTATACATAAATCAATTTGCTCATCTTATAATTGTATTGTATTAATTGAACATGTTTAGTTTGGAATTCAATATAAAGGCTCACTCAAAGTGAAATTCTTTTATGACAAAAAAGGATAACACAAAAGATTAGTGGAAAAAATCATAAAGTATTCAATGGTTTGTACAGATTTATGTATAAATAGTATTTATATTTCTACAAGGAAAAACAGAAATCTATAAAATTCCTTGTATAAAATCAAAGTTCCTTCCAACATAACTTTTACTTAGTGAACTTGACCTATTACTCATCAAAAAAACATTTACAAACCAACAATCAAACGAATAGTTTCCTGGATGCACAGCAAAAAAGTTGTGGAATTTGTCAAATAGCACCAAAAATTTGTTTTGAAAATCAATATTTACTGCTTCTGCACAAAGAACTCTGAATTAAGGAATAATAGATAAGAGGGGTTTACCGTTAAAAGGCTTGTATAGTCCGCAGTTTTATTCTCCAAAATTGAACTTGCCAGAAGGGGTGCGGACTATAGAGTACAATAAGTAAGAAATAAGAGAAAAAATTCAATTCCGCAAGGTGGTTTATTTTCATTTCGCCATGTTTGTTATTGATATTGTAGAGGACGCTCTTATCATTTTTCAAACTAATAATTTTACCTAATCCATATTAATAAGTTATTATTATTCAATATCAAATTAATATTGATAAATTTAAAAATTAAACGCTTCATAACAAATTTCTCGTTTCTTTTCAATTCATTGCTTATAAAATAAACTGGTATCAGCTTGAATGAAACTGTACAAACAAAAGTGAAAAAGACAACCGTAAACCAGCTTACGATGTGTAAATTACAAAACGTAATTAGTTATTATACGTTCCGTTTTGGTGTTTCATACTGACTAATATGTTATTTATTAGCTTAAAACCCTTCAAACATTAATGTGATAGATATATTTAACACTATTTTACATAAGGATGGAACTGCTTTACTTTCAAAGTCGTATTATATTGATATCTAGTATGTACGGATTTCGACTCTCACCGTTTTTTCTCTTCTTTTACACAGGCTTTTCAAACTTCCGGTTTAAACATAAACAAGTTTCTAAATTGTTTTTTGTGTGATTTAGACTTATTTTAACAATCGTTAAGGCTTTTAGAATCATTTACAAGCAGTTTCAGCTTCTGTTTGTTGATGGAAAATAGTTTTTTCCAAGAAAATACCGCATACAACCACACATGATTTGAAATTACCAGAGTTTCATTAGACCTTTTCTAACAGTTACAAACAGTTTTTTTACCAAAAATTTTGTGGTGAGAAGGGGATGCGGACTATGTACCAGTGCGAACTATACAAGCCCGATTACGGTACTCAGTCAGAACAATGTGTCTAGGTAGGGTGACATGAACATGTTATTGTGACATAAAAATGAACCCTGCTTTTTACAGATAGTAGCATGCTGATTCAGCATTTTAACCTGCCAGTTCACAAAGTACCAGGAAGACATGGCAGGTTAAAATGCTGAATCAGCATGCTACTATCTGTAAAAAGCAGGGTTCATTTTTATGTCACAATAACATGTTCTAGTCATCAACAGCAAATGCTAATTGCCACTGGACCTTAAAAATCAATCCATCTAAAATATTGCCTAATTTCATCAAGAATACTTTTATTTGAATGAAAGCAAAATTTTTCATCACAATTAGAATGATATAATTATATACATGTAACATGTACAACTCATTATTATAACAACCAAGTCAATATCTAAAACAGGGGCCTCGGTGGCCGAGTGGTCTAAGTAGTTACTACTGTAATCACTAGCCAGTCAACACTGAGGTTGTGAGTTCGAACCCCGCTCGTGCGGGTGCACTCGACTCCAATCTTAATTGACTAGGATTGTCAGTTTTCCTATCGAAGGTCGTGGTTTTCTCCGGCTTCCTCCACCAATAAAAACTGGCCGCCACGAAATAGCCCAAAAGCGGTGCTTAAAAGTGGCGTTAAAACACCAAAAAATCAAAAAATCAAAATATCTAAAACACAAAACATTCTAAAGGTCAAATTATAAATACCAGTGTTTTCCCCAGGCCGTTTTAGCGTCGGGCACCAAGACGCTATATTTTTTTCCCGTGATGCTATAATAATTTCCGCGACGCTATAATTATTTTGAGGATGCTATTTTTCTTGTCCGCAAAACCATGTCCTAAATTTTGAACTTTCATCTTATTACCGCTTGTGATCATAAAAATTATATCACCTTTAATTGTAATCCCTTAAAGTCGGACAATAGAGGCAATTTAGATGATTAAATAGGTGTTAATTGCCCTTTGGGTGATAACTGTTTGACACTTATGACATGACTAATACCACGTGGTCCAATTGCAAATTTTGACATTGAGAAAATGTAATCAGAAAATCATAAACAATTCGAAATCTACGTTTGCATAATGTAAATTCAAAGATACAAACGATTTATCTCTTTAGAAAAGAAGTTTGGTCGTTTGTTTTTACAACTTTCAAAAAATTATTTTCTTTAACTTCCGGTACTACTTGTTAATCAAGAGCGTATATTAAACATTTTGATTTTGAGCTAAATAAATTTGATACTTCTTTAGAAAGTGATTCAGAATTGGCTTTAGTTAATGTTTCATCCATTTAATGCATTAAAAGCGTCCTACTCATTCCCAATCTCTTATCAAACATTGTTTATTTTTGTTATTTTTCTCCGGCCGCCATTGAAATATTTGTGTAAACTACGGATCGGAACTGGACCAGATATGACAAAAATCCGCATTTTTACAATAATAACTACAGATGCACAAATGGCACAGAAGACAGAAAAAATGACCCTAAAAGAGAAAATTACACATTCCACACGCATTAACAGACTATTTGTTAGATCTCCTTGCTAAATGTATTCATTTTGGAAATGCATTGTTTCAATATACTGATTAAACTTTGTTAAAAATACATATCATTTTGATATAAAGAAACAACTGGGACTAATACATTGAGCAGTGGAGGATCCAGAAATTTTCATAAAGGGGGGGGGGGGGGGGGGGAACTGACTGCCTAGTCATGCTTCAGTAATTCCCTTAATAATCAACCAAATTTTTCCCACAAAAGGGGGGTAGGTAGGGTACAATGGAACCACACATATATTTTTATTTGGCCCAAGAGGAAAAAATTAATTCTGTAACTACAAATTAATATAGAAAACATAAACTGAAATAAAATGCTCCGCTGGGGCGCAGCTTGATACGACCGCAGAGGTCGAACCCTGAACAGTTGGGGCAAGTATGGACACAACATTCAAGCTTGATACAGCACTGAATTTGGATTGTAATTAAATATTTGACACAGCATAGGTTTCTCACACAGAATGAAAGTAGTCTAAGAACTTAAAATTTTTTAATTTACCTATTCAAACCATATCATTATTATTTGCTTTTATATATAAATCAGAAATAACCAATTTAAAATGGAAAATTTTAAAGAAAAAAAAGGAAAAAAAAATCCCCCCCCCCCAAATTTTTTGAAACCCCCTTATGATTCATCACCCCCAAACTCAATCCCAGCCTTCCCTTTGTGGGTATGGTACCTTGCAGTACAATTTCAGAGAGATCCATACACTTGAACACAAATTATTGTCTGGAAACTAGAAAAATGCTTGGGTTTTTTGCACCTTTTTGGCCCCAAATTCCTAAAAGTTTAGGGCAATTACCCCCAAACTCAAACCAAGCTTTCCCTTTGTGATATGGAACCTTGCAGTACAATGTCATAAAGATCCATACACTTACACACAAGTTATTGTCCTGAAACTAGAAAAATGTTTGTTTTTTTGCCCCTTTATGGCCCCTAATTCCTAACATTTTGAGACAATTACCCCCAAAAACAATCCCAGCCTTCCCTTTGTGGTATGGTACCTTGCAGTACAATTTCAGAGAGATCCATACACTTGAACACAAGTTATTGTCTGGAAACTAGAAAAATGCTTATTTTTGGCCCCTTATTCCTAAACGTTTTGGGCAAGTACCCCCAAACTCAATTCCAGCTTTCCCTTTGTGATATGGAACCTTGTAGTACAATTTCATAAAGATCCATACACTTACACACAAGTTATTGTCATGAAACTAGAAAAATGCTTGTTTTTTGCCCCCTAATTCCTAAAATTTGGAGGCAATTACCCCCAAAATCAATCCCAGCATTCAAACCCTCAATCAGCATCATTTAACAGTAATATCTAAAAATGGAAATTACATAATAAAGGTATTAAAATAGAAAATGACATCATAGTCATGGCTAAAAATAAACAAAATCCTTAATCAGCAACATTTTACAGTAATATCTAAAAATAAAATTCCTTTGTAACCATAAAAGCCCATTTAAATACATCATGACAGATATTAAAATAGAAAATGACATCATAGTCATGGCTAAACATAGCAAAAACCTTAATCAGCATCATTTAACAGTAATATCTAAAATTAAAAATTTCTTTGCAACCATAAAAGTAAAATAGAAAATGACATCATAATCATAGCTAAAAATAAACAAAAATTTTTTTTATTACCAAATTTTAAATGGAGTTTATTAAACTAAAACAATATATTTGCAACCATAAAACCCCATTTAAACACATCATAAAAGTATTAAATAATTCAACTACATCATAAGGCTATAAAAATAGAAAATGACAGGTAAACAAAAAACCTTCATCAGCAAAATTTTATATTGGCAAATTTCCAATGAAGTTTATTATACTAAAATTGTTGGCAAATTTCCAATGCATTTATTAACAATAAAGTTATTGGCAAATTTCCAATTTACATAATTTAAAAGCAGTGTAAGTGAGATATTTAAATGAGTTTGAATTACCAACCTTACACTGCTTTTAAATAATGTTTTGTACTTATTTGTCTATTAACCTGGAAACCCTTGTTTTTTCACCTTTTTTTCCCTTATTATTTAAAGGTTTGAGCCATAACCCTACCCCAAAGCCAATTCTTAAATTCCAATGTAACCTAAATTTACAATATACATAACTTCAATTTAAGTTTTTGATAAAATCAAACCACATCATTATTATTTGCTTTTATATCTAAATCAGAAATAATTAACCAACTTTAAGTGGAAAATTTTCACACATCACGCCCCCCCCCCCCAAACTCAATCCCAGCCTTCAGTTTGTGGTATGGTACCTTGCAGTACAATTTCACAGAGATCCAATTACTTAAACACAATTAATTGTTGGAAACTAAAAAAAAATGCTTATTTTTAACCCCTTTTTTAGCCCCTTATTCCTAAACATTTGAGCAATTATCCCCCAAACTCAATTCCAACTTTCTCTTTGTGATCAGAATTAACCAACTTAAAATGGAAAATTTTAAAGAAAAAAAAAAAGGAAAAAAAATCCCCCCCCCCCCAAAATTTTTTGACCCACTTCCCTTTGTGGTATGGTACCTTTAAGTACAATTTCAGAGAAATCCATACACTTGAACACAAGTTAATGTCTGGAAACTAAAAAAATGCTTATTTTTGCCCCCTTTTTTGGCCACTTATTAATAAATGTTTTGGGCAAACATTTTACAATAATATTTAAAACTGAAATTAATTTGTAACCTTAAAATTAAATAGAAAATAACATCATAGTCATAGCTAAAAATAAACAAACTATTGGTAAATTTCCAATGGAGTTTATTATATTAAAACAATAAATTTGCAACCATAAAAGCGCATTAAAATACATCATAAAAGTATTAAAAAAAATTTAACTACATCATAAGGCTATTAAAATAGAAAATGACATCATAGTCAGACTAAAGGTAAACAAAAAACCTTCATCAGCAAAATTTTATATTGGCAAATTTCCAATGAAGTTTATTATACTAAAATAATTGGCAAATTTCCAATTTACATAATTCAAACATAGTGCAGGTGAGATATTTAAATGAGTTTGAATTACCAACCTTACACTGCTTTTAAATAATGTTCTTTACTCAATTATTTGTCTATTAAAATGGAAACCCTAGTTTTTTAACCTTTTTTCCCCTTATTCCTTAAACGAAAAAAAATAATTACCCCTTTTTTGACCCCCCCCCCCCCCTATGATTCATCACCCCCCCCCTTCCCCCCCAAACCAAGCTCAATAACAGCCTTGCCTTTGTGGTATGGTACCTTGTAATACAATTTTAGAGAGATCCATACACTTGAACACAAGTTATTGTCTACAAACTAAAAAATGCTTATTTTTCACCCCTTTTTAGGCCCCTTATTACTAAACGTTTTGGGCAATTACCACAAAACTCAATTCCAGCTTTCCCTTTGCGAAATGGAACCTTGTAGTAAAATTTCAGAAAGATCCATACACTTACACACAAGTTATTGTCATGAAACTAGAAAAATGCTTGTTTTTTGCCCCCTTTTGGCCCCTTATTCCTAAAATTTCGAGGAAATTAACCCCAAAATCAATCCCATCATCGACCCTTTGTGATATGGAATCTTGTAGTACAATGTCAAAGAGATCCATACAATAACACACAAGTTATGTCTGGAAGTTACAAAAATGCTTATTTTCGGCCCCTTTTTGGCCCCTAATTATTTAACTGTTGGTACCATAACCCCCAAAATCAATCCCCACCTTCCTATTGTGGTATTGAACCTTATGGTAAAATTTCATAGAGATCCATTCACTTAAACTAAAGTTAGAGTGCGAAAACCATTGTGTATTCGGACGACGACGACGACGACGCCAACGTCATACCAATATACGACCACAAAATTTTTTTGCGGTCGTATAAAAACTGTTACAGTTTATTTGTATTCTCAGTTATCAATTGAACAATATAAACATAACAAAAAGGAAATAGAGCAGTGCCGCAACGCGACAAATAACATTGAAAAAAATACAGTTTATTTTTTTTACGCCAAATGTGATGCTATCCAAATTTTCTGGGGAGAACACTGACTACCACCAGCCACAGAATTACACTACAAATGCTATCTACCACCAGCCACAGATCTGCACTACAAATGTTAATCATGTTTTAAAGTGGATTCAGAAGTATGTCAAAGATGCTTCCAGTGTTAAATAAACTTTTTAATGCTTTTTGGGAATTTATTATTCCCAAAATAGGTTATACATGTTATAATGGAATCAAAATTATTAGGATAAAATAATAATTCTGGGAAATGTGTATGCTTGTGAATTGATTCCAATGGGAATGGGTTCTTATACAATATTCTGCCAGAAACGTTAACAAGGGTCTTTGTTCTATAGAGTAAAATATAAACTGTGACATTCCCTTTCGATATATAACTATGTTAAAAGTAAACTTAAAAGTGCTATAACCTTATTACCTGATGATATTTAATATGTGTCTGTGTATCTGACCATGGAAGGTCACTAGGCCACCAATCTGGTTTTCCTGTCTTGTCTTCCATACTACTTTTAACCATTGTTAACAGTTTGGGAATAAAGTCCCTCAGTTGTCCCTTGAAAAAGAGTTAAAATATATTCTTATGTCTATGTACATCGTTTTTTATAGGTGTTTTAAGCATAACAAATCATTTATTAATACTTCATTTTATACATAAACAGTTGATCTGAAAAAGTGCACAGTCACACAGTACATCTCATCCCTGTTGAGGTGCTGACAAAATATGAAGTATATTGAAAAGTAGTACTGAGGAATTGTGTGATAAAATTTTTCAGATCCTTCAACATATTAAAAAATTTAAGCTAGTGACAAACTGGAAGTAGGTGTATGACAGATCCAAATAGTGCACATATGTTACAACTCCTTTATACTGTCAAGCTGCTGACATATGAAGTGGTTCTGTTCTGTTGTTCCCGAGAAAAGTGTGACAAAAATATTGTTTGGAAGATGGGTGAAAGAACAGACAGATGAACAAAGATATGCAATGTAATCTCACTCCTAGAATATACAAACTACAAAGATTGCACACCAAAAAGTTCAGTTAATGAAAAGAAATGACATGTTTCTAGTCAAATGCTTGTAAACTTATGACATTTTGGTGAATTTCAGTGCATCAAGGTTTGAAAATTCTGAACAGTAAACACTGCTATATTTTTGGTCTCCTTCGGTCATGTCAGTGCATGCCTAACTGCAAGAATCTGTGTTTTCCATGTATGAATCTAAAAATTTACACAAGATCAAATGTTTGTAGAGATAATTTTATGAATGTAAGCTCAGCTTTCTTAAAAATATGCTGTTTACTGTTTTTCTTCTTTTCAGTCAAAATATTCTATTCTTTCAACTAAAAGCTCAAAGGAGCCAGTTTTGCAGGTAACATATATGTACAATACTGACTGATTCTAAGGAAAATAGTTTCACAGAGCATAATAAATATTGTTAATTATATACCTCTGACATTGTGTTGATTGACAAAATAGGAAGCTGCATTTTCTTTTCAGTTAGAGATGGCGGTTTCTTTTTTCCATTTTCTCCTCCATACATTGTGGTTTCTTAAATGAAACAAGTAAGAATTTAAAAAAAGTTAACAACATAAAGTAAATATTACCAACATTTTCAAACAGGTTTGCAAGATGGTCAACATAGTTTATGAATAAGTTGGAATTGGCTTTGAACTAGTTTATAGAAGCGGTTAGTTCTCATAAGTTAGTGTTTTTTTTTACTTTTTGTTAAAAGTGCTTTGTGTGCCTAATGCCAGTCTGATGAGTCAAGCCTTTCCCAATGATTTTTATATTTGATTCTTTTAATTATAGAATAACTAATCGAAGAATTCAAATAGAGAAAAATATTCAACGAGTGACCGAACAACACATTAATTCACGAATGCGTAGCGCATGAGTTAATTATCAGTGTTGTTCGGTCACGATTTTGAATTCTTTGATTGGTTATTCTTTTTATTACATTGGCAAATGGCTTTTTTTTAATGAAATTAAAGTAGAAAATGTAAGGAACTATATCTTTTTCTACGCATTCACAATTTGTTTTGATCCGACGATATTGGCGTCTTGACAACGCCTATTGTTGTATGACGTCAGAGGAGTGAAATAACCACGTTTATTTCACATGTGAGATTATCGGTTTTTATCATACTGGGAAATCAATGTAATTCATTGCAACCAATGTAATAATGTTTGTTATTTTTGTGTTTGGTGGTAGATTATACCAGGCCATTGGTTTTCTCTTTTAAATTGTTCTACTTTTTATCCTAGTGATTGTTTTCCAGTTAAGGAAATATTTTATCAACATGATCAGGAAAAATATTTCATCATCATCATTATGTTCATGTGATGTTATCATACAATGAAGCAAAAAATAAAAAAAAAAATATAATCTAAACAAACATGTTTATATACATCATATAGATAAAATAACATAAAAACTGTTAATTCTAATGTATTATTTTTGGTTACTTTTTGGCTCCAATATTATTATTATAACTTTATTTGCAAATTACATCCATATGGCAAATGTATGGGTCAAGCTATAACACAAAATTGTACAGTGAGTTCTGTATTAACACAACAATCAGGAATTACAATAATAAACATTAAAAAATAAATGTGGATAGTGTCCACATGTGTCCACAGATGATGCCCCCCGCTTGCATATCATATAGTTATAAAGGGACATAACTGAAGAACGGTAAAAGTGACGCTACCCAAATTTGAACTTCATCCGAGCTTTGTGGTAATAAGCATTGTGTGTAAGTCTTATAAGATTTGGTTGAGGCTAACTTAAGTAGAGATCAGAAACTAAAAATTCAGCAACTTTTCTATTTGTAAACACGCATAACTCTAGAACGGTTGTGTACAAGTTTTATGACATTTGGTTGAGACAAACTAAAGTTAGAGAACGGAAACGAAAAATTCAGCAATTTTTATATTTATAAAGGGACATAACTCAAGAATGGTAAAAGTGTCGCCACCAAATTTCGTACTTAATCTGTATTATGTAGTAATAAGCAATGTGTATAAGTTTCATAACATTTGGTTGAGGCAAACAAACTAAAGTTAGAAAACGGAAACAAAAAGTTTGTACTTGATCTTAGATTTGTGGTAATGAATATTGTGTATAGGTTTCATAATGTTTGGTTGGGGCAAACTTAAGTTACAGAATGGAAACTAAAAATTTTGCAATCTTTCGATTTATAAAGGGGCATAACTCAATAATGGTTAAAGTGACACTACCCAAATTCAACTTGATCTTTGTTTTATCAGTGGAACATTGCATTGTATAAAGCATTGATTGTAGTTGATTCAACTATAATCATGGACAAAGGAAGATAACTCCAATTTAAATAAAATGCTCCGCTGGGTGCAGCTTGATACGACCGCAGAGGTCGAACCCTGAACAGTTGGGGCAAGTATGGACACAACATTAAAGCTTGATACAGCACTGAATTTGGATTGTGATTAAATATTTGACACAGCATAGGTTTCTGACACAGAATGAATGTGTGCTAAGAACTTAAAAAATTTTAATTTACCTATTCAAACCATATCATTATTATTTGCTTTTATATATAAATCAGAAATAACCAATTTAAAATGGAAAATTTTAAAGAAAAAAGGAAAAAAAAATCCCCCCCACAAATTTTTTGAACCCCCTTATGATTCATCACCCCCAAACTCAATCCCAGCCTTCCCTTTGTGGTATGGTACCTTGCAGCACAATTTCAGAGAGATCCATACACTTACACACAAGTTATTGTCTGGAAACTAGAAAAATGTTTGTTTTTTGCCCCTTTTTGGCCCCTAATTCCTAAAATTTTGAGGCAATTACCCCCAAAATCAATCCCAGCCTTCCCTTAGTGGTATGGTACCTTGCAGTACAATTTCAGAGAGATCCATACACTTGAACACAAGTTATTCTCTGGAAACTAGAAAAATGCCTATTTTTGGCCCCTTATTCCTAAACATTTTGGGCAATTACCCCCAAACTCAATTCCAGCTTTCCCTTTGTGATATGGAACCTTGTAGTACAATTTCATAAAGATCCATACACTTACACACAAGTTATTGTCATGAAACTAGAAAAATGCTTGTTTTTTGCCCCTTTTTTGGCCCCCAATTCCTAAAATTTTGAGGCAATTACCCCCAAAATCAATCCCAGCATTCCCTTTATGATATGGAACCTTGTGTTACAATGTCAGAGAGATCCATACACTTACACACAAGTTATGTCTGGAAGTTACAAAAATGCTTATTTTTGGCCCCTTATATCATTAACTGTTGGTACCATAACCCCCAAAATCAATCCCAACCTTCCTTTTGTTGTATTGAACCTTATGGTAAAATTTCATAGAGATCCTTTCACTTAAACTAAAGTTAGAGTGCGAAAACCAATGTGTCTTCGGACGACGACAACAATGCCAACGTCATACCAATATACGACTGCAAAATTTTTGCGGTCGTATAAAAATTACTTGATATTTAGAAGAAAATAAAAATTTTGCAATTTTTCCATTTATAAAGGGGCATAACTCTAGAACGGTTAAAGTGACGCCACCAAAATTCAAACTTGATCTGTGTTTTGTAGTAATAAGTATTGTGTATAAGTTTCATAACATTTGGTTGAGGCAAACTCAAGTTAGAGAACAGAAACCAATTTTGGGATGTACGTACGTATGCAAGTATGTACAGACGGACAAGGGTAAAACTTAATGCCCCACCGCTACGGCGGGGGCATAAAAAGTCATGATAATTCAACTTTTGTTAGACATGGACCTCATTTTAGCAACTCTAACTGTCTAAGTAAAGCTTTCTAATGTCATCAACTGCTGACAAATGTTCAAATTCAGGATTTTAAAGACATCAAGCTTGAAAAGTGGATGACAATTTATATAACCAGGTTTTATATTATAGTGACTGAAGTATTTGTAAAGTGCACATCAAAGTGCTACTTAGTAAGGAGTATCATAAATATAAGAGGTGATTGAGGAAGTAATGCCTTTGCTTATCATACAGATCCAGGAAAATATATTATAAAAGGCCATTATACATGTACCATGAGCTATCTTTTCCATTGAATTCAAAACAATAAATGCCTTTAACATTGTTTTAAAAAAAGAGGTTTATTGAATGCTCAGTTGAATAAAATTATGCAGATGTTTATGATGTACATGAAATAAAACAAACACTGATATTGTAACAGTGGTTTGATTCCGCCAGTGTACTTTATCCATAGGATGAAAATTCCTAGTGTTTTATATCCACCAACAAAAATGCACTAGGTTTTTTAAATCCGGGTCTAGTGTAAAATATCAAACACTCGTCATAAGATTCTGAAGAGGTTTTTTTTAAGAAGAAATATATATATAAATAAAAATGGGGCTTGGTATTTTTTGGGGGGTATTTGAAGTAACTTAAACTTGCATGGGTGATTCATGTAAAAAATGGATCCAAAAAACTAGTGTTTTTAATCCAATGAATGTTTGATTCCGCCAGTGTACTTTATTCGAAGGATAAAAATTTCCTAGTGTTTTATTTCCACCAACAAAAATGCTGGATTGATTCAGATGAATTAAACTGGTTCCCTGAAAATTATTCTCATTTTAACCCAATAATTTATGTAAACAATATACCAGTCTAATAATAAACATAAACAACGGTTTTCACACTATTTACATACAATAGTCTCTAGTAAATAATAGTTGGCCGGAATAAACACACGGTGGAACGAAAGAACGCTTACAATATTGCTTTTTGCATTAAACATCTAGTGCCTGTATATTATCAGTTATCCTTAATCACATAGAGGCCAATCATCTATAGAAATCATTAAACATCTAGTGCCTGTACATGTTCAGTTATCCTTAATCACATAGAGGTCGATCATCTATAGAAATCATTAAACAACTAGTGCCTGTACATGTTCAGTTATCCTTAATCACATAGAGGCCAATCACCTATAGAAACCATTAAACAACTAGTGCCTGTACATGTTCAGATATCCTTAATCACATAGAGGCCAATCACCTATAGAAATCATTAAACATCTAGTGCCTGTACATGTTCAGTTATCCTTAATCACATAGAGGTCAATCATCTATAGAAACCATTAAACATCTAGTGCCTGTACATGTTCAGTTATCCTTAATCACATAGAAGCCAATCATCTATAGAAACCATTAAACATCTAGTGCCTGTACATGTTCAGTTATCCTTAATCACATAGAGGTCGATCATCTATAGAAACCATTAAACATCTAGTACCTGTATATGTTCAGTTATCCTTAATCACATAGAGGCCAATCATCTATAGAAACCATTAAACATCTAGTGCCTGTACATGTTCAGTTATCCTTAATCACATAGAGGCCAATCATCTATAGAAACCATTAAACATCTAGTGCCTGTACATGTTCAGTTATCCTTAATCACATAGAGGTCGATCATCTATAGAAACCATTAAACATCTAGTACCTGTACATGTTCAGTTATCCTTAATCACATAGAGGTCGATCATCTATAGAAATCATTAAACAACTAGT